ATTGCTATTTAAAAGATATTTAAGAACATTACTCATAGATAGTAATTCTTTGTTGTTATTTGGTAAATCTCTTACAAATCGGGGCATAAAATGAAATTCAGGACATCCATCTTTATTGCCTACAGCATGAAAATCTAAATCTACTAATTCCAATATGTCTTTAAAGAAAAAATTATAAAACAGTTCCAACTCTTGTATTACAAAATTATCTGGCATCTTTTCTTCAATATATAGTATAGCATAATTAGTATTGAACCGGATAACTTTACATGTTGGCAATATGGGAATAGGATAATGTGATAGCAATGAAAACCCTTCAAAAATGTATTTATTACGTTCATGTTCAATAGTTGTAGGACATTTAAGTAAAAAATTTGTAGGTGGAGTAATACTAATTCTATAATGATATAATTTATTGGCATTATTGGTATTTGGCAAACATGGTTCAAACTGTCCTTCACCAATATAAATATTATGGCGAATACCAGACCTCTGTGACTTGAAACTACATTTGCAAACTGGCCCATCATTCATTTCTCCTAATTCATTATACCAAAGTTCTGGATGCAGCCGGTCAGGATGGGCACTTTTTTTAGCAAGTTCTCTTAATATGACATTTCCATGATCTGAATCTTCATCACTTGAACTACAAGAATCATTAGCACAGTCTTTACTTCCGACACATTTATGCTTACGCACATTAACATTACTTTTACGAGGTTTGCTATATACTGGTTTTAATGCATTCACAGCTGTAGCACGTTTTTCTAACACTCTTTCAAATTCATTGCATACTTCTAGCGTTATATCATTTGCTATTATAACCTTTGAGTCTTTAAGCTTTTTATAATATAGATCAGATTCAAAAGAGTGATAATGTTTTTTTTGTTCATTAGCCATTATTTGTTCAATAGACAGTTTTTCGGGTAATTTTGCAGTTCCAGACGACTTAGTTGCTACATATGACTTTGTAGTTCTAGGTAATATTTTTGAAAGGGATTTTGGATTTCTTGTATTAACTGATTGATTTTTAGAAAAATGTCTTTGTTTTGAATCAGTTTGATGAGTGTTAGATGAAATATTACGGGTAGAATTTTTTATTGGATTATTTAAAAACTTACTTGTTAAATTAAACCATTCATCATCTTTTCTTGAATTAGGTGTATGTCGGTTGTTTGAACCACTAACTGGTGATCCATAATTAATGTTTGATGGATTAACTTGTAAAGACATATTATGTGTAAAGTTTTCCCCTTGATAGCATGGTGTAGTGTTTGGAGACATTTGCATATTGAAATTTGTTACATTTGTATTAATCGGTGGAGCATTATTAAAGTATGTATTTGGATTTGGTAAAATTACATTATTATAGTTATAAGACAATGTAGATTGGGGATTAGGTTGCATACTTTGTGGAACATAACCATTGTTGCTGAAACTTGTATTAAGGGTATTAGCAGATGGAGAAACATAAGATACATGTGTAGGCATCAAAAATCCATTATTATATGGAAATTGAGAAGTTGTAGGTGTACTATTGTAATAATTATTCATACCATTGTTTGGAAATTGCGGCATATTTTGTCCATTGTTATAGATGACTCCATAAGGAGCCATTGATTGGTTTTGCTGATAATTAGTTGATGGATTGTAGGATCCATAGGGCTGCATTATAATTGGTAAGTGTTTTTTCTTCGTGTTTTACAAAAATAATTTATATTTCAGTGTAAAATATAAAAAAATAAATTACCACGATTCTTCTTTAGAATTGAGTCTGAAAAAAAGTTTTATATTGATATTATACTGAGATTGTAATATTGTAAATTTTATATTCAAATTAATTATTATTACTTATATTATCTTTAGTTTTTACATAATTTAATCAGTTATTTAATAATCTTATTTACATAAGTCCAGGGGAAAATCTGTACAATATTATACAATTATTATTAAAGAAAATATATAATGCCTATGTAATGTAAAAGTTCTGGCGCTGCCACTGCTATAATATGTGGTCTATATGAGCAGACTGGTTTTTACATAGGCTTAATATTATCTTATCTTTTAATAACACCTTATCTTTATGGACTTATACTTTAATTATGACTTTTGATAACAATAGTTAGATATTTTGTAGAAGTATGAACTCAGACACTTAGTATAGGAACATTATTTACTGCGCGATACTACAATTTATACACAATCATACATTATCAATATATTTCCAACAGTTTTTTTATTTAATTATAAGTGTGATGAATCAACAATACATTTTTTAATTATTAAAAATCGTTTAGCAAACAATGAAAATGCCCAATGCCATAAGTGTGGGAGTGATATTAATTTGTACCTACATAAGGAGGGGTAAAGAAAAAAGTTTTACGTTATGAAGGAAAGGGATGTCAGACAACTCAAAGCTTAAGGTATTCAGATATTGTGCATAACTTATTATATTATAATTGTGTATTCAAAATGTAATTATAGGAAGGATAATGCTTTTAGGACTTATATTAACAAAAATGGTTGTCTAAATAGTGGACTAAGCCTCAGTCAACAGTTAGAATTGGTGTACTACTGGATTGACTATAAGTGAATGGATGAATTTGTGTTGAGATATGCCAATTAATGAATGTTTGTTGAGAAGATCAAGAAAAAATCATAAAGGAAATTTGTATTTTAAACAATTTTAATATTGAATATTAATTATAAAATAATATAAATCATCATCATATTGTTACATGTCGATATTGACTTGCAAATTTGCCAAGTGAAAACATCAAAGATGAAAATGACGATCCTCTTTAAAATGGAAAAAGGAATTATAGTAGATGAATGGACAATCCTTAAGTGATTTATGTAATGATACCGAGGCACAATATTTTATTGTTCCAAAGCGAAACAAGGAAACTTTGGATGAAATCATTAAAAAAGAGATTATATTGGGTTCTATTATACACTCTGATGAGTGGTCAACATATAATGGGATCGCTCAATCTGGTTACACACATAATACAGTTAATCACAGAAAAAATGTTGTTGATCCAGTTACACAACCACACAGAAGTTTGTGGAAACCATTACATTTAAAAGTAGTTAAAAAGATGTGTGGTACAAGTTTTGACCTCCTTCCAAGGTAAAAAACATTACCTATAAATTATGAATAATTTAATGTAAAAAAAAAAAAAATATATATTGCAGGTATCTCATGGAAACAAGGTGGCCTGGGATAAATAAATCTGGTGTATTTAATGCATTTATGAGAAATATAGAGAAAGTTTTTATAGAATAATATGTATTCTATAATATGTATTCTTGACAACAATTTAATTGTTTATTGATTTATATAATCAATAAATACTATATTATTTTAATTACTATTTTTGAACAATAAATAATTAAATATTTTGAATGATATACCTACTATATAGTATAATATAGTACAGTATACTATACTCGTAAATTCACCAGTACACCGCATACTACTGGTGAATTTACTAGGCCTAATACTACATGACAGCCCTTATTAGTAATTACTAATTCGCTATAATGTTGAATTTTGATTATATTTAAAATCTAAAATTACATCTATGTAATATTGCAATCTATGCAATCTGTCATGTTCTCACCTACATTTCCTCGCCACATACTTCAGACATTCCCCGCTATATTAATAAAATATCAAAATTATATGTGCATAATAAAATTGATGTATTTAATATACTGAAGAATGAATAAATATAAAAATATGCAGGTGTAGGTATATAATAAAAAAAACATTTTAGGATAATGGGGACAGGAAAAGCCACTGTTATTGATAATTTAATGTATACCTGTAAGCATTGATTTAAAAAAAAAGGATTCTGAGTAGAGTTAAGTTGATAGAAATGCTTTGTTAACACTATATATATGTGTCATTTTATAGTAAAATAATTAAATAGGCTTTATATATTCTTTTTAATAATATTTGTTTAATGTTGTACCAATTTTCCCATGTTTTAACCTGGTTTCTCACATTTGATGGGAAAATTCCAGAAAAAATCGAAAAATGACCTGTTTAAAATACTTCCCTAGTAAAATTTCTGTTTAGAAACATTGTTATCATTAAAATTTGGAACAAAATTGCTGGTTGAAAAATTGTGCACATAAAAAAAAAGTTGTAATATTTAAGAAATATATTTCGTACATTTTCCCGTTTATTCAAATGTTATGAAAAACTCTTGAGAAAATCGAAAAATAACTTGCCTAAAGTACCTCTCCACACCGATTTTTTTTTCAGAAAAGTTGCTACACTTAGAAATCCGAGCAAGACTTTTGGTAGAAAATTTATTAACTGATAAAAAATAAAATAAAATTTTTTTAGTAAAACTATAAGCTTTTTCACTCTACTCAGAATCTAAAAATAAATAAAAAAAGTTACACATGTATCTTAGTAGTACAATTTAAATTATTTAGTATTTTGTTTTGCTTAAAATAACCCCACAATACACAATATCTTTAATCTATTATCTTTTCATACTGTATATCTAAAATCTATGTTAACAATTTTCAACAAACTTGTTGTATTACTTAATTAAGGAATGGTCTCAAAAAACAGTAATACATTTGGATGATAATTTATCACTAGTGACTAAAAACAGTTATTGCAACACGCCAAAATATAATTTCAGGTTTTAGTTTGGAGAAGGGGAATGTCTGTATACGGTTTACTGTAGGGGCAAAATATTAAAATCAGTACCTTGTTTATCAATTTGTTGGTGCCTATATTTAATAGTTAAGAAAATTGAATTGTGATAATTATGACTATGTGATGTGGATTTTCATAAGAAATTAAAGAATATGTTCAGTTTGAAGTATCAAACGAGATAGCCAAACATCTAAATAATTCGGTTTTTGAATATTTCCTTCACTACACGTTTAAATGGTAAAGAGGACTTTTTCTACCATTTTTCAAAATGGAAATTGTATTTCTCCACTTTTTTTTACAAATAATATAATAGATACATTTAAGACACTATCAAGACATTTTGTGTCAAATATTTAGTAGTAATTAGATACTGTAAATGCTCTTGATAAAGGAGTACCTAATTAAATATTAAAAAAGATATGCTAAAATTTGATGTTTAATATTTTCTTTTTTTAAGACTTTAATTGGTATAAAAGATACCTAATGACATAACTAAAAAATTGTGTTTTAAAAAAAATTTTTCTGTGACCAAATAATTATTATTGTGAATACCATTTACTATCTTCAAAACGTGAAAAAAAAGTAGAGCGGTAAGGTTAATGACTAAGTATTGTTATATTACGAGGGAAAAGTCTTAGAAATATGATTGTGTATAACATGAAGTAACTTATAATGTAGTGGGTAACTGTTATAATATGAGGTCGGCAATAAAATGACCAGACCAAAATTAACTACAAAAAAATTAACCTTAGTTATATTATGTACTATTTTCATAATACTATAATATTATGTTTAACATTTGTTTAGGTTAGGTTACATACAATAATAATAATAATAATAACACTATATAGTGTTCACGGTATTCCATAAAGATTTACAAATTTAAAACAATGGAGCGATGAAATAAATTTTACTCTGCATCATTTCAAAAGTGTAAACCCTCGTGGCCCAGGAGCACAGATTATTATAATAAAAACGGTAAAATCAATAACTGAAAAAATGTGTTATACCTTTTTTTCGTGTAATTGACGGAGATCTTGATCACGTATACAAAATACCGACACTAAATTTCCAAATGGCAAATTGAAATTACTTACCACATGGAGATTCAGTTTTCGGAGACGTCCTGAGTAGTCGAGAAAAGTGAACACAAAGCACACGGCCGCAGTTGACACAAAATACAGAATGGCGGATGCAAAAGTAATGCTTTACACAAAATGTGTTTGTTATCATTTAGTCATTTATACCGAGTCTTTGGTTAAAACCATATTTATATATGTATATAATGATTTTGAACTCAGTCCATGGATGAAATTCCATGGAATAAACAGTGAATAGGATAGGAGGATTACTACATTTTGTTCCACATGATACTTTTTCCGCAATACTTTTGTTCTAACCCCATTTGTTCCACATTTCACCTTGTTTTAAGAGATATTTATTCCAACTCATGTTTGTTATTTGTTCCAAAAGACTCCAGTATAGCGTTTCATTCTTTTCTCGCGCTATTTCTTTCGACTTAAATTATAAAAACCGGGGGGTTCTTTGTGTTTAAAATCTAAACATTAGATATTATTACCAAATATATCAGTAAACCAACAATTTTCAATTTTAAAATAATTTTAATTAATTTAAAAGAAAATTGACGATCCACTCCCCGGCCGTATTAATCTATTTGGCGACAACTGCGTATACTTTATTTATTTATTATACATCTTCGCTTCCAAAGTGATCTTTGCGTTATATGTTAGAATTAGAATACATAATCAGATAAATAAATTCATAGTAGAAAAGTATAAAATCAAAGGTTAAGTAAAAAATATTTTATTTTAATAGATTAGAATAGAATGTGAATTCGCTCTGATCGATGTCCATTTTGACCTATCTCTGTGTCATGAGTAATATCGATGTTGTCCATATAGAAATTGAATATTTGATTCCAGTTGGCATAAGTAATAGTGTACATGTTATTGATGAAATAGTTGGAAATATATTATCACTTGCTGTGGACATGAGTATAAACAAAATATATCCAACTCGTATGGAAATTATTGACGAAGCATTTAGAGAAGTGAGTATAATATATATTATACACCCCAATGTTTTTAAACATTGTGTTGAGACAACATGAGTTGTCATTAGTTAATTACAAATTAACAGTTTACAGTGATTAAATGGTTAGGTATTATTTTTTTTTTTTTATTTATAAGTTGTAGGATAGATATTTTTTAATAAGTGGTTGAGATATGTTCAGATAGTTATAAAATTATCATGTTTTTTATCTGTAGCAAAGAAAAAAAAATATTTTCTTTAAGTTTTTTAAGGAAATTTATTTTTGGTTAATATATATTATCTGATGGCATATGTTATGTGTCACCTAAATCGATGTAAAACCAGGCGAGTACACCATAATAAAATATGAGCACCTTTGTACATAACAATAATTAGACTTAATATTATTCAGGGCTTAGAATATTTTCGAATAGATTAATTGTTTGGACTGAGAATACTTTCAAATAATTTAGTTATTAAATTAAAAATATTTCAAATGTTTATTTATTTATTTAATTAGTGTTTTTAACAAAATAATAATATTTTCTGAATAATAAACCAGTATTAGAATTCAATTAATTCTTCATGTAACTTCACTCTTCTTTGTCTGACTAGGACACGTAAATAGAAAATATTTTTTTGGTGTACTGTAATAGGCTGTGGTTTTAAAACATTAAGTGGGAGTTGGTGGTAAACAATGTTTTATTTAAGTAATACAATGGTGTGAGTAAAATAAATTAAATTAAATATATGATTAAAAGTTAAATTAAATATATGATTAGAATATCAGTAAATATTAAGTTTAGGTTAAGCCTATAGAATGAATAGCTAGTCTCTATTATTGGTAAATGGTTACTAATCATTGCAATAATTATAAGTACAGACTGAAGTATTTGTATAAAATGGAAGAAAAATATTAAAATTCAATTTAAACCGATCACTGTCCACTAGTGAAATAATGCCATTTGTGGGAACTGGTGAGTGGTAGTGATTATTGTTGATGTGATTCACCAAAAAAATGATTGAAAACTTTTATATATAATGATATAATATAATTCTGAAATGAAAATGTAACTAATATTAATTGGACAGGGTAAATATGTGATGGTTTTATGAATTTTCAGTTAAGAAAGAAATTTTGGAGGCTTTGCAGTCTCAGCATATTATGCCTCTCCCCTATATACACCACTGATGTTAATTATTTATACTTTAATTAATTTTTTATTTTACATTTTTATTAAAATTTATTGGTGTGACAGGTTTTGTCAATAATAAAGAAAGGAGACCACCAAGAGACCTTTCTAAAGTATTAAAATTCATAATGAAGAAGTACTTAAAATTATTAATATTGAATGAACCATCTGACATAAAATTTACAATATAAGTAACTATTATCTCAAGATGCACATTACTTCTATTTTAATAATATTAATGTTTTTTTTTTTTTTTATAGATTTATTTTATTCAATTTATATGAATACAAATCAATTCAACAATTTATACACTTCAATTTAAATTATTGCAAATACAGTTGAATAAATAATCAAAAAAAAAAAAAGAAATTAACAGCCAGCATATCAGTAAGTATTTAAATATTCAATTACCATTCAAAAACATTGTTAAAAAGTTAACATATGGCCACATCATGCAAAAAGTGACTTATCCAAGAAAAAGTTCTTATTAATCACCTGTTATAATATATTATACATTTATAAGTAGCGCGAGACCAGTTATTAGTGAGTCATTATTATAATATAAATAATAATATGCAAAATAATATATTACCTTAAAACTGCCAATCATTATTATTTCCATATTTTTAACTATACAATTTGTGTACCTTAGAAAATGCAATGCAAATGTATAGTAGTATTATTTAGATTTAAATCATCATTTAATAATAAATTTGCACAGTGTATAATGTAAATATATTTTATGTATATTAAATTAAATTAATTATTATATTAAAAAGACATGTTCATATTAATAACCTGTTATATTATATTGAAAATTATCTGAATTTTTAACCTTCAAACCATTATGGATGTACAGTGAAACTACTCTTAACGGACATTTCTAAATAGCGAACAATTTTTTGGGATGGGGACATTTTCATTGCTTTTATGTAGGAAACACTCTAAATAACGGACAATTTTATAGCCAGGTCTTAAACAAGCTAAAGTAACTGATTTTTTCAGTAAATGTTAATTTTTATCAATAATTTTTATTTACATTTTCGTTAATATTTTTACATACATAATAATAACAAATTTAATTAATACACTTGGAGTCACAAAAATCGCACATCTTTAAAATTAAATTTCAAACAGGCGTTTCCTCCAACCAAAACATTTAACCCAAACAATAAAGATATCAATTGTAAATACAGTTAATGACCTCTAATCCAATAGTAGTTTCATTTCATAAACAATAATCATATTCCGAGTATATGGCACATTAGAAAAATGTATAAATATACTCTTATCTTATCCAGAGGAATAAATCAGAATGACAACGCTGCACAACGGACAGAGATGATCATTTTATTGTCTTTGCGCAATCGATTTTCCAATGCTGTACAGCTTCAACAGCAACTCCACACAACTCACAGTACAACAGTAAGCATCTTTACGGTTAGGAGAACAAAAAATTGTGGCTCGCAGACCTGCTACCGGTCCGAAACTGACTGCACAGCACCGCAAAGAACAGTTACAGTTTACCATGAACACGTTAATTGGACTCTCGACCAATTGAAGACTGTGATCTTTTCGGATGAAACAAGGGTGTGTCTATTCAGCAATGACAAACAAAAGAAAGTGTACCGAAGGCAGGGCGAAGGGTTTCCATAAGCCTGTATTGAGCAGACAGTAGAGTATGAGGGTGGCTCATGCATGTTCTGGAGCAGCATTTCTATTGATAGCAAGACTGAGCTTGTGTGCGTTTCGCAGATTGGTGGTGCTCGAGGACAAGGATTGCTGACTTCTCATTGATACATCATAGAGATCTTAGAGGAGTATGTGGTACCATATGCGGGTTTTGTTGGCGATGGGTTTATACTAATGCTTGGCAATGCTTGTTCCCACACCGCATTAATTGTAAGGAATTATATGGAAGAAGTTGGGATCCCTGTTATGAACTGACCAGAGAGAAGTCCAGATCTAAACCCAATTGAGCACCTCGGGGATGAATTAAAATGAATAGTGTGGTCACATGATCGTGCCCCAACAACCTTCCAAGATCTTCAAGATGCTGTTGTTGCACAATGAATGAGCATTTCTCAGCAACACATAACATCATACTCAACATAACTAATCTGTAATCAACATAACTCATAACATCCATAAAAGATTGTATGGAAGCAGTAGAGACAAGAGGAAGTAGCACTAGATTTTAAATAACATTTAGTAACAGTTTTTTATTTTTATGTGAAGTCTATTGTCTGTTTCTGTTTGTAAAAATGTATAACCTCAATATAATTTGTTCTCTTCTTTTACGATTAACTTATTTTTTTAAAACACTGATAAACAAAAACACATACCATTTATTTATTTTTCAAGTTTATCACCTTTCGAATGATATATCATAACAGTACCCTTACATATGATTAAGTGTAGTTAAAATTACTTTGAAAAATAATTTGCAATAGGTGCGATATTTGTGACGCCAAGTATAATATGCACAATTAATATTTGTTTTAAAATAATACAAATATACGCATATCATTAATATACATATTAAATATATAAATGTTGTACATAGTTATTAATTTTTCAGAATTTTTTGAAGTATGTGATTGAAACACACTTGAAGTAAATGACTATAAATCTTTTTTAGATGCGTACATAAATAATTTGGATTTATCTAATAAAGCAACATAAAATTTGTTTCAATTGAAAAATCATAGAGTTAGTGAGAGTTAGTATATGACTATACACTCAGTCATTACAAATTAAAAAGACTGAAAAAATAATAAATAAATATAGACAGTTTTTATATTATGTAATCACTTTTATTTGAAATGTTTACAATTATATTTCAAATTAATTTTAAACCTATATTTATTTTTAATAATTAAGTTTTTCAGATTCATTTTTAAAAATACTAAACAACCAGCAATTACTTTGATTGCATTCTTCAATATGATGTAACTCAGTTTTTATTCATCTATTTTTGTACTCTCGTCATATTAAAGAATGCAACCAAAGTAAATTTCATCTACTTTTTTTGTACAATTTTTAAACATATATATATAGCAATAGTGTAAAGTCTATTATTTTTCAATATTATTTTTTTCAATTCATGAGTTGTGACTGCTTTCGAAATCTAGCCACTTGACATAAATTTTATTCTTGTTCCTTTTCAAAATAAGAAAGGTGTCTGAAAAATTAATTTTTGTAATCTCTTGTTCGTAAAAACATCCTAAAATTATATTATTTAAGCCATCTTTTATTTGATAAGTTACTGGATTTATATTTAAAACCTTTGTTATTGTAAATACTTCTGTAGTCCAATTCGGTGTATACCCTTTACTGTATGCATGCTTATATTTAGATATTCTAACTTTATCATTAACTTTTAATTTAGGTTTTCTTATTTTTATATTATTTTAATTAAATGGTAATTTATGTTTTTTCTATCTTCACCAGGTGTACATTTAATCATAGAATGTTTAGTATTATTGTAATTAGTTATAAGTTTGGTTATTGAATTGTACCAATTCCATGTTCCTATCAATGTAAAATGTTTATATATTTTATTTTTAATTGTTCGTATTAGATGGTCAACCATACATGCCTTTATACTGCTGTATGTACTGTAATGTTAAATATTATATTTGTTCATGGGATCTTAAAACTGTTCATTGTAAAACTCCATCTATTATCTGTTTGTATAATTTTGGTTGATTTGTTTTTAATATATTTAAAAAAAAACTTCTGTGCTGCTTTTATTTTTCAATGATTGAGTCCACACATATTTAGTATATGTATCTATTACAATTAAAACATATTTAAATCCACTGTTTTTCCTAGAATGGTATTACATATCTATTAGATCAGCCTACCAAAGATCATTCTTGTAAAGAGGTACTACATTCCATCTAGAAAATATGCGCCTTGCTGGTTGGTTTAGCTCATCTTCTATATTGCTTAACGTTTCTATATTATTAAAATATTGTAATTATATGTATGTCTATTACTTTATACGGTTTTTTTCATACAGTTCTTCTAAGATTGATTCTTTTCTGAGAACCTAGTTGATATAAACCCAATATATTCTATAAAAGTAATATGTAATATAGCTTAAGGTTCATTCAGGATCAAGCTATCTCATTCAATTCATGAATTTTTTTCTATAAGAGTAATTGGATCCAAAATAGTTTAAAGAACGGCAAACTTGATATATTACAAACTGAACACACCTGTAATCGATAGAATGTAAATAGAGCTAGTCGATCAGAACCAGAACTTAATACATAATTTTCGTGAAAAAATAACAGTTATTCTATGTACAAGAAGTTGCAGATATGGAGTTGACATTAAAAAAAAAATAATCTTATAAAAGCAGATCCACCATATAATCTAACTAGTGCTCAACGGTTAACATAAAAAAAATATGGAAATTGACAGTAAAAAGTCAAAATATTCTTTCTTGATTATCATTTAAAACAGAATGTCTGATAGCGAAATATTAGGCGTTGATTCAAGTTACACAACGGATACGAGAATAACTAAAATTGAATACCATTCGTATATTCCATTCGGAAAAATAGCTGAACCGATTAAAGTAATCTTTTTAATAAAGGTGTATCTTAACTATTTGATCAAGTAAGATTTGAAATTAATCAGGTGGAAGTGGATAGAACTCGTGCGCTAGGGGTACCTAAATAGTTCAATAAAAGGCTATTTGTCATGTGTATCAGATGAATGTAATTACTATACAAATGCAGGCTGGTCTTTTAAAAACGATAAGTTTATACATATACTGTTTCTGGATATTTTTGTGTATGTATTCCACTGAAGTATTGGATGGGATTTTTCGAGGATTTTAAAAAGATTTTATTGGATTCACGGCTTGAATTAATTTTAACAAGAAAAAATGTTGATCCATTAAAAAAAATTGCAAGGTCAACATTATCGACAACTACTGCTGCATTGGAAATTAAAAAATAGTCTAAACAATCCCACATGTGAACATAGATGATAACGACAAAATTGAAATTAATGAAAAATATAGAAAAAGGAAAAAACTTATTTACATCCTTCAGATTATATGAAACATACGAATATTCTGAACTTGGTGACACGAAAAAAGGTGGTTGGAATTTGAAAACTGCTTCAAAGCTGAAAAAACCAAGTTATGTAATAATTGGTTTACAGAAAAATACCGAAGATTGTAGTAAACTCGAACATTGTAATTAAAAACCGTGAAAGTATATTTGAATTCTATTATGTATCCGTAAAACGATTTGAATTTAGATTTTAGTAAAAGAAATTACTCCTTATTGTATAATATATATGCATCATTGCATGATATTTTGCCATGATACGTGTTTAATGGTACCTATTAGATTAATACTTCTTAAGAGCCCGTAAAAAGGCATGTGGAGGGAACGGGTGATTCCTCCACAGAAATTCTAGTGGGAAATTGGGACGTTAATTAATTAATAAATTCGGTATCTTACTTTTTTAAAAGTAGCTAGAGTACCTCTACTATTTTAACCCAAGTTAAGCACGAAGTGTATCCTTGGAGTTCTAATCTACCGTTTATCATTAAAAAGTGACGAGTACCTACTCGGCATGTTGTCGAAAGAAGCATACATGGCATTAACTTTGGAGTTAGCCTTTATTTTGCTTTTTTCCATAGAATCATACTTTTGTAATTTTTTTTTTTTTGTGATATTAACTTACTGATAACTAGAATATCTTAAAGATTATGTAATCAATGTAAATGTAGTTAACATATATATTGAATAGGTACCTATTTCAATGTACTTTTAAAAATCAATAAGTACCTATAACTACATACAGTAAATAGGGATCTCTTTAAGTTTTAATCTTTTTCAACATACTGTCACTGATCATTCCTATGTAGGTCATTCAAATTAAGTGTGAATTCGTGTAAAATTCATACAAACATATGTTTGAAGAGACGAACATTTGTACAAAATTCTTCAGCCTATAGTCTATAATCTTTATTATATAGTCCGTTGACGAATAAGCACTCGTTATATATCTTTAACCGTCTACTAAATTATAGTTCATTATCGTCTCTTTCATCACTAATAAAAAAGAAGTTGTCCTGTGATAATGGGGACGGGTGCAGCCAATGTTTTAGATGGGAAGTTGGAAAGGAAGGATACAGAAAGGAATTTAATGTATATTTATAAGCAATGATAAACCATTGCTAACGAAAAACCGATTCTCAGCATAGTTCAGTTAATAGTGATGCATTGTCAACAATATACTTGTCGTATGGTAATATAATTAAATAGACATTATACATTTTCTTTAATAATATTTGTTTAATATTGTACCGATTTTCCCATGTTTTTTTTTTCGGTTTTTCACATTCTATGGGAAAACTAAGAAAATCAAAAAATAACCTCCCTGAATTAGCACTCGAAGTCAATTTTGTTTCAAAAAAGGTTCAACATCAATGTATAATAAAAGCATTATTTCTTAAAGGAGAAGGTACTTAAAGAAAGTCATTGTTTTGATTTCCCAATAGTTTTCCAGATAAATAGGAAAAACGCGGATAAAACATGGGAAAAACGTAGAAAAACTGTGAAAATCGGTACAACATTAAAGGAATATTATTTAAAAAAATGCAGAAAGCCTATTTAATTATTTACTATAATATGACATATAATTATTGTAAAAAGCATCACTATCAACTGAACTCTGCTAAGAATCGTTTTTTCGTAAGCAATGGTTTATCGTTGCTTATAGGTATACATTAAATTACCTATTACAGTGGTTGCACCCATTCCCATTATCCTAGGACATCTTTTTCATAATAATTTAAAAAACCACGATTTTTCAAACTACTGTGCAACGATTTTATTATTTAAAATGTTTACGACTTATGTTTTCCACCATAAATATTACTCTAATAGAAAACCGCAAGAGACCTTTTTTTATTGAATTTTTAATTTGATTGGTAAGTTAGAATATCGTTTTTCGATTTTCCTTGTAGTTTTTTTAATAATAGAGCAAAATCGAAAAAAAAAAACGTAAAATTAACTAGACAATTTACAAAAATAATTCTTTTATTATTTTTATTTTTGTCTTTTTTGTTGCGATTTAGTTAAAAATATTCGTAGAAACTTGAAATTTATACAGAGAATTTATATTTACATTTTCTAGAAGCAGTAAAATTGTCTGCTAAAATTCTCCATTTTTGAGCTGTTTATAGACCCTTATAATTTGTACGTAATTTTCATTCGGTAGGTACTCTATGGATAAAATTGTTAGATCAAGCAGAAATGCTTAAAAATTTAACAGGAGGTTTATTATAAATTGTATTTAATGGCCAGCAAGAAAAAGTTGAACGTAATGTAGTATTTTTTTTTTTAAGAATTTTTAATGTCAAATTTTAACGTAAATATTACCTACGGTCATTCAAAACATGTTTAACCGAACCCCGCTCAGAATCTTTTTTTGTTAACAATGATTAATCGTTGCGCACAGATATACATTCAATTCCCATTTATCCTACCCTCTCAATTTCTCACATACAACAGCTTATATCATTTTCTGCTTTTAAAAACAAAAAAAAAAATAAAACATTGTCCCACCCATTTTTCTAAGTATATCTGTCTTTTTCAATATAAATATATGTTAATATTTTTTTTTCGTTTGATTAGCAATATTTAGCAGATAATTTTTTTACCTTCTAAATTTATACAAAGTTGTATTATTCTTTTACTACACAAATATATAATCTTAGATACTATAATCAAAAATAGTTAAATAATAACAATACTATTGTGTATATGTTTTCACTCTGTGTAGTATGTGTACAACACCATGAATTAGCTGAAGTCGCTGTTGTAGACTTATACATTTGTTGGGTACAATTGATTTTTTTTTCGTAAAACTATGAATTAAATAGTTTTAGTTATAGTCAAATAATAATCTATTTTTACTAAAATTCGCGTTATTTGTGATATTATGTTTACTGATCCTTACATTAATTGTAAAATGTACAATGATTTATACTAAATTAAACTATCAATGCTAGGGGATATGCCCACTCCTTAATTTAGGTTCATCCGCCCTATGTGACACTTCTAAACATGTACATACTTTAAGGATGTCAAGTACAAAACAGGAGGGCTATTCTGTTAATAAAACTATGCCATATATCCGCGCATTTGGCTTATTTAATTATGGCGTACTTACAACTACGACCTGTGTCTTGATGTATCGCACTTGACTTACTTGGCGTACTTTCTTGAATATTTTCGATTTGATTATCTTGCCGAGTTTTTATCATTAATTGTTATTGTTATTATTATTATTACTTTTTTTTTTTAATCTACAATGGCGATGTGTTTTAGGTTTTCATTCAACAAGTTTTATACTTTACAGTTAAAATCTATTTTAATATACATTTAGTTATATAGCGACGAACGAGACAATGAAGGAGCTAGTAGACGGTTATCTAAGGTTGGAACGAGTTCTTATTCGTCAACGAACTCAGTCATGAACTGTATCGGTCATCAGATGAAGAATAGAAGTATGCCAAAAAAGTAAGCCAAGTGCGTACCTGGCGTAGTTTCATTAGCAGAATAGTTATCCAGACTATAACAACCCGACATTATTCGAGTAAAACCAATACTAGCTACGATCCGAATTTTAAAAAGTGGATTTCAGGTAGGTCTCATTTTGTTGAAGGGTAGTTGGGAAGGTAGAATATGCAAGGTAGGTACAAAAATTAGTTTAATTGTATACTTATATGGAAAGATAATATATCAATGCAAACAAAAGCGATTTTGAGTGGAGTAGTATTACTCATGTTTTATAAGTTTTTTCCATTTTAGGAACGAGAGTCTAGAAATTAACATAAATCAAAAAACAAATAAAAAATTACCTAGGGATGAAAACCCCTATCATCACCATCGATAACAATTTCGATAAACGTTTCTTATGAACCACTGAGAGAAAAATTCGACATATTTTGAAATACCGCGTAAAAAAATCGAACTATTTTTACTATATTTTACATATAGTAAACAACTATATAGTAAAATAATTAAATAGACTTTACATAGTTTCTTAAATAATATTTGTTTAAAGTTGCACCGATTTTCCCGGATTTCCTACGTTTTTCACAGTTTGCCCATGTTTTTCTCGGTTTTCCATATTTGGATTTTCTACAAATATTTTTAAATGAATCAAAACAAAACAAAAAATTGAAAAAATACATTTCGTACATTTTCTTGTTTTTTTTTTAACGTTTTTTCCGATTTTTTTCATTTATTATGAAAAAATAGCTAAACAAATTTAAAAATGACCCCGCTAAATTACCAGTTCAGTCAGTTACCTTTTAAAAAAAAGTGCTATACTTAAAAATCGGAGCAAAATTTCAGGTAGAAAGGTTGTTTACAGATAAAAAAAACATTTAAAAAATAAACATCATTGTAAAACCAATATACTCCTCCCTTCGCTCAGAATCTAAAATAATGTTACTACATAACACTCTAATTTTTTTTGGTTTGACTACTAAGTACAACTTTACTTGTGTATTATAATGAACTTCCTGTTAAATTTTCAATGTTTATGTTATGTCAAATAATGATATTCACATAGTACGTACCTACCTACAAAATAAAATCTTCGTTAAAAACACACTGATGTTCTACAACGAAAAGACATACAAGTTTTTTGTCAAAATTTCAATGTCTGCGTTATTTATAAATAAATTATAACAAAAAAGAGCTGATACTGGGGATGGGAGCGGCAACTGTTGTAGGTGAGGTTAAAAGTTAAGAAGGTAGGATACATGAGATTATTTCATTTATATCTGTAAGCAACGATAAACCATTGCTTGGCGAAAGACAATTCCGAGCGCAGTTCGGTAATACATAATTTGAAGTACCGTCATTTTTTTTTTGTGATTTTCGTTTAAATTTGATATGAAAACGCTTATTAAAAAAAAAGTCGTCCGATCATTTTGGATATTTTATCACGTCTAGGTTAATCCAACATAAGTATTATTACCAAGTTTCAAGTCTCTACGTGTATTTATAACCGAATTACAGTAAAAAAACTCCTCTAAAATTAAAATTCCTTAAAAGCTCAAAAGTGGCTCAAACGTTTTAGCAATGATACAGGAAAAAAGTAAACTAAAAAGGTGAATTGTGATTTTTCATTTAAATTATTTTTTCTAGTAGAAAACGTCGTTCATGTTTTTATAAAATCGTAAAACTGTACGTTTTCCTACGTTTTTTCCCCCACTTAAAAGCTTTTATTTATAAAATAGCGTCAAAAATCTTAAAATGACATTTAAAGTACCATCTAGAAAACTTAAGCTTTCAGAAAAGTAGCTACACCTAAAAAATCGGAACAAGTTTACTATGAAAAACGTGTTCACAGGTTAGAACAAAGAACAAAGAAAAAGAAGAAATAGACAGCATTGTACAACTAATAGCTCCATCGCTACGCTCGGAATCTAGAAACAAAATTTAAAATTAAAAAAAACATTATTTTCGTTAACTTGCCCGTTCTTTCTTCTTTTTTTTTATTGGTTTGCTCAATTATTAAAACATGTTTTAAAAAAAATCAAAAAACGACTTTTTAGTCAGCAATAAAATGAACAATGCAACAAAAATGTTTTTTGTTGTTTTGCGACTAGCACATTATTTCTGGTGTAAAACACAATTCGTAACAATTTAAAATAACGAATAGTTAATTCTATATATTTGTGAGTTATTATTTGCGTCTCTTTTGGTTTTTCCCAATTATTAAGAAAACTAATAAGAAAATCAAAAAATGACTTTTACCATGCACCAACTTGATAAAACTACTTAGGGCTAACTAGATTTCCTTTCAGAAAAGTTGCTAAACTTGATATATCAGATAAAGTTTTCTATTTGAAAAGTTACTCACAGATACAAAACAAATAAAAAAAAACATTCTTCGCAGTAAAACCAATAGATCCCTCACTATGCTCAGAATTTAAAAATGAACCTTGTGAGTGAAATGTAAAAATGTCGATAAATATTTCAAAAAAATTACCACCGAACGTTGTGGAATTTTTAAAAACTAATTTTTCAGAAATTTTTAGTGTTGGTACGGTTACTTTCTTTAAAGTGGAACATAAAGGACGGTATATATTTTTGCATTTTAATCAGAGTGCAGTCTTATTGACATGTTAACTTAAAACAAAAATGGAAAGTTGGGAAGGTAAAATAATTATAGTAAGAAAATAATAGAATTTTTAATAATATGTATACACTGGAGAGAAATTCTGTACATTAACCATTAAAAACCAGTACACCATCTTCGTCGCCCACTGCCCCAACAATATGGTCTGTCTTTGACCAAAGTTGAATCCTTTGTTCGGCGCTACAGGTCATGACAATATTTGGCAATAGGTAGGTACCTAATACTTATATAGAGCATACGTTGATTGGATTCCAGGAAGTAGGTATATTTTTACATCATAGATTCTATATGTATTATTATTATTATTTTTTTGTTTTTTTTTTTTTTATTCTAGCCGAAATATTAAGTATGTTTGATTATTTCTATATTGATGTAGGTATTATAAACTATATTATAGGTGCTCGTTTGAGGATTGGAGATTTGTTGTACGGACGCGAAAAATAGCCGCGTTTCAAACGCGTCTGCACTGCGTCATTTTGTCGTCGTTGATGGTAGGGAGGGTTACGCGCGCGGAGGGATTTACCTCCCCCTCCATTATTCCGTGAGTTCCGCGAGTTCCGCGACTATCCCCCGCATTCGTCGCTATCCATCCAGTCCAGTCGTTCGGTAGCAGGGTCAGGGCTCCACCACCAAGGGTTTTCGGTTTTGTGTTTTTTGCACCGTGGTTACGGATAGTATGATACGATCTGACATCTGACGCTTTTCGCGTAATGTACCATGTTTCCCGATATTATTGTTTTCATAGGACCATGTTTTGTTAATTTATGAAAGTATATTAAAATATGTTATGATTTCAATCCAATGGACTTATAAAATTAATATAACTCAAAATGGCGACAAGCGACGACGAACCGATGCATCTGTACGAGGTGTTCCAGAACTGCTTCAACAAGATCGCAAATAAACAACCAGGTATAATAATAAAACACGATTCCTACCCGATTATACTTCTGTATTTTGTTCCCTTTTACATAATATTATCCATTAAGTCCGACTGCTATACTTTGGCCGTACAAATGCCGTTCTAGCGTCTCGATTTCTAAAAATCCTTATGTTTTTTTTTGCAACCAACATTTATATTCTGAAGTCCGGAAAATACCCGAACTTTAATTATTATCTATACATATCGGACATGAATTAAATTATCATCTCTTAATATGCAAACGATCGTACACGCGTATTAATCGGAATAATAAATTACGATTTTTTATTAACTCGTTTGTTTCACTACAATGAACAATGTTCATTGAACGTAGTATTATTTGGAGCTTGCTTATGGAAGATCGCCGAGCTCAAAGCGTGCCTATAAAGTTAAGATATTCACATAATAATTACTACACTTTGTTTACGCCTATAATATACGTGTACACATTACTGTTTATAATATTATTATAGTCGTATAGATAGGTGTCTGAGTGTGGTTGTAACTTGTAAACAAAAGTAGATAGAATATCCATGGAAGTTATCGAAATATTTTATTTATAAATATGATTTTCCAAAACTGCCATTCGTTATGTAGGTACTTAGGAACTCATGTTTATTTTACTTACAGATTATATTATTATTAGCCGATTGCTTTTGGGTTTTGTACCTATCTGTATTATCTTTAGTTAACATTTATACTATCTGCTTCTGTAGGTGTTGAAACTTATGTTTTATAAACAAAACAATTATACTACAAATAGATAAATTTCAATTTATTATTAACATTAATAATTACCTTTTAGATAATATTGTTAGTTTGATTGATGAAGCCCGAAATACCTACCTTTAAACCTATTCTTAATTTAGAATTAGAATGTTATTAATTTCTTATTAATTGTATTAGTTATCTTTATTCACGAAAACCATGATGTATTTTGTCCCTCTTCACATTATTATGCTAATCAGTATAAATTTTATATATCTATATTAGAAGTTATATACAATCTATACTAGAAGTTAGGTAATTCAGGTCTGTTATTTATAAAGTTTACATTATTTTTTCAATTTTTAATGAGTTTATATTACCCGAAACAGTTATCTATTATATTTAAATACAAGTGTATATAAATACTTGGTAATTGGTAGGTAGGTAACAAATGCACTTGATCATATTTAGATAATATTCCAGTATTCAGTTTATCTATTTATTTCAATCATTATTCCACAAGAAGCTTAAACACTTACTCAATTATAGGTGCTCAATTTGTATACTGTTTATGATATTTATTATCTAATCATTTTAGGTAGCTAAATAAATAAAACAAAACAGACAAATCTTACATTGCAGATTAAATTAAGTTAGTTTAAGTTAAATAATATACTATTATTACTTAGGTATTCATTGTTAAATTTATTTTAATCAGAATTTGATTGAAATATGAAATTAGGTAAATTAAAAATATAACATTTGTGTGTGCAATATGTATAGTATAAAGAATGTTTAAATAAGTAGTATTTATTTAATTCAACTCTTTTTTTTTTTTTTTTTAGAAAAATCCGGGTTTCAGCCTCCATATAATATTGAAAATGGAATGGTATGTATTTGTTTGTATATTTGTTTATAATTATTGTTAAAAAATCTTAATATTAATATAATTATTTTAAAGCACTGTTGAAACATTTATTTTTTCCCTTCCATTAATTCTAACTAAGTATGACCTATAAATATTTGATTTAAATTAAAAATAGTTCATCTACCTACAATGTAAAAATAAAAATTTGTTTTATTATTCATTTTATATTATTGTAAAACAATTTATTTCAGGCATATGGTAATAATTTTGCATCTGGTCCTGAGACTTTTAGTCCAGATTCTCCATACTTTCCATTCAGCAATACTCCACGGAAACCACTTCCAATCACCATGGCAGGGTCTGCTATTAAACGAAAAAGAGAGGTAAAGAATTGATTTTTCAAACTAATCTTTGGTACTTTATATTATATAAAAGAACGTAGGTATTACATTTGTTTTGTTTCACTAAATCTAAAACATAATATTGCAAATGAACACTTACTATAATATAAGTTTTATTAATTTTATTAATATATGAGTATCTACCTATATTATGTAAATATTATATAATAATTATTAGAATAGAATAATAACAATAATAATAAAAAAAAAAAAATGTAAACAATTATCACCTTTCATCTTTCTTATTGTAAAGGTATAATAGATTGTTACCAATAAGTGTGTAAAATCAGAATTCAATAGAAAAAGGTCAACTGAAAAAAAAAAAAAAGAGGACAATGAATTTCATAGAATACCCACTGTCCTGCTGTGCATTGTCAATCGATTTAGTCCCTTTTTTCTTTTTCTTTTTTTTGGTATCCCATTCCTAATAGTTTGATTTCTTTCTGTAACTTGTATTGATAATACAATAATCTTAATTTTTATATAATTCGGAACCTGTTTTAAGGAAGATTTAGTTGTTTAGAATATTTAAATACACAGTTCTTGTCTTATTAAAATGTCCATACATAGTAACTGGTATATGGTCTATTAGTAACATAATATTTGTAAATTAAAATATTACCTATGTATAAAAAGTTTGTACATTGAACTTTGTTCTTAATATTGACTTTGAATGATATAAGATTTTTGGTTAAAAATCTTAAATGTTAAACCAAGTATTTAATTGATCAGTTGTCCATGTTAATTCAAGTAATAATAATAAACAATATAAAATGTGTACTTTTTAGCATATAAAGTGATCATGCACAATAATTGTACACATTTGAACATTTGATATCTAAATAGAAGACTTAATCATAAATTTAGACTAGATTCATGATTACATATTCTGTTTTTATTTCAGAGTATAGATTCACCACCAGCAGAATCATCAGAAGTTGAAGTTCCACATCATTGGGTAAATATTTAAATATTTTATTGTTAGTTTGTGCTTAGATCAATGGATAAGAACACCTACTCTTCATAATTTAATAAGTACTGTGTATTTTGAGGATTATTTCAATCTACTGTCTCATCATCTATTTAAAATTATTGGCAATCGCTATCATCAGTTTGTTTGGAAAGTTTTTTGCATTTGGCCTCTGTTTAGCCAATATTGGATTATTATATTATTAAATAACTAATAATTAACCCATATATAATAGCTCTAATAATAGTCTTAAGTATATTTCAAGTAATACATAAATTAAATCTTAATAGTAGACCCTATTAATATCACAATTTTATTATATCATTAATATCAATTTGGGATTCAAAATTAAAAAATATATTGTTTATATTTAATTTATGTAAAATAAAAATGTATTTAAGACAATATTAAATTGGTAAATTACAATAGGTAAATAAATACTCCAATTTTTAACCAGTTAATTATTATTCTTGTTTTATTATTTTTGGTTACCTATTTATTCTGTTTACATGCATTTTTAATTGTTAATATTTTTTAGAAGTCTTTAATGCATTTTTATAATATATATTTTTGATATACTCCTTAGCTATGGAATTTATTATTAAGTGATAGAAAAGATAATCAAAAAGCACATTTTTACTGTCTTTGACCTTAAAATATATTATGTTAGGTGTAAAAAAATGATTGTGTTAAGTTATATATTATACTTGTTTGATTCATTATTCTTGCTAAGCAATATTTACAATGTATGGTCTTCATATTTAACCCCAACATAGAAAATGAAAAAAAAAACACTTGTTCCTATTTATACAGCTTAACAAGCGAGTACACTCTTGGCGATTCCTTTGTTTTATAGTTTCTGAATTGTAAATAAATTAAGTATCAGCAATATCTTAGACATTTAAAAAAAAAAAAAATTATTGGGTGGTAGGTTGTAGGTATACCTAATAATATAAAAAATAATTTTTTTCCTATAGTGGCATATAGTTAATGTGAAAATCAATTTAATAATTATGCATTTTTACAATTTTTAAAATGTTTTATTGGATATCTTATTGCCTTATTCCCATAAATCAAATTTCCATATATGTTTTTATGTTTTAAAAAAATGTTTGATTTATTAATTTCACTTATTTCTGGTAGAAAAAAAAAACTATTAGATTGAAAATAGAAAGGTGATTATTATTATGCACTAAATTCGAGAATCGAAAAATATTTTGGCCGAATCTCGGATTTAACCATTATATTTTATTTATTTTCTATATGTAGTAGTGCTTTTCAAAATTTGTTTGAGTACATTTTATTTGTCTACCGTTGTTAGTAGGTAGTTTTATTCCAATAGTTTGTTTTTGCCTGTAGTATCTATTGCCTGTTATTAATTGTTAGAATTCCTAAATTCATATTTCATAACTACATTTCATCAAACATTTGTTGAATTTGATTGTAATATTTTAATACAATATGCTATTACTTATATATTATCATAATTCATAAATAACTATGATATAAAGTTTATGATTGATTCTTTTACAACACACAGTTTTTTTTAAAAGAATGATTGCTCAGATTCTTAATATATTTTTATAATTAATATAATAATTTGTTTTGCTTATGCCGTATGCTATAATAGGTTAGTTATATCTTTTTTTAATCAAGAAGATAAAGCTTTAAGTATAATATTTAAGGATTAGCCTATTGGGAATTTTAATAAAAATGGATATAAGTCCCTTGTTAATAGTATTATGTAATCGTGAAATAAACTAAAATTTTTACTGCAAATCCATTTTTCACGCCAGGCCACTTTAATGATAGTCTTAATTAAGACACTAAATTTCCACCACAATGAGAACTTGCACCCTGCAACGTTTTTAATGTGTTCAATATCAATATTATTGAATAAGTTATTTGAGTTTGAAAAAAATACAGTAATTAAATTTGTAAAAAGTAATATAAAATTGTTCTTTTATGTGGTGTCACATCACTTCTCAATGATCACGCAAATCAATTTTTACAAAGAACATTTTGAAGAATATTAACTTTATTGTTAATCAATGATAAAATTAATTTTTAGTTTGTTAAAGCTGTATTTACAATTCTGAGCCTCATTAGTTTAATTAAGATGCATGTTTTTTTATTATTTTTGTTTGTTTTGTCTATAAGCATTTTTCTGCAAGAAAATTTCCCCCTGTTGTAAGTAAGAAAGTTAGTTTTTGTAATAATTAGGGAAACCTGGAAAAAACTTAAAAAACTAACGGCCATTAATGGTTTCATTATTTTTGATTTTATTTCATTGTTGTAATTTAGTTTAAAATAAATCTAGAACAAAATTTTTCATTTAACATGTACCAATAAGTTGCTGATTTCACCTAATACTTAAATTAGCAATTTCTAAATGTAGTACAATGTTTAACATTATTTTTTTTTACTTTTATAACTAATCATAAATGGTTTATGGAGATAAAATTTTGTTGGATTACTTAAAAAATCGTTAAAATTGTATACAGGGTTCACTATAGCTTGTTCTGATGACACTATAAAAATTTCAAAAATCTGTTATCACGATTTTTTTTTTATAAGCATTTAAAGTTCAAATTTTGATGAAATCTTTAAAACTATTTTCTAAAATATGCGGATAAAAAAGTTAAGACTCCATACAAATTGTTAAAGATGTATCGCATAGAAAATACTGTTTTAAATTTAAAAAAAATAACCTAATATTTGACAAATTTTCGTTAAAACATTATATTATATTATTATTAAACCTATAGTTTGATTGGCGAAATGTATAAATACGCGTGCAGTCACGTCAAGTTTGTACTGCGCTGTAACAAATTTCGATTCGATTTATTATAGTTTATAAGATAGTGTTTCATTTAAATGATATCGTGTAGAATTTGCGCACGAGTTTACCAAACCGTTCCTTGTTTTTTTTTTCATTTTCATTTTCATTTTCATTTTTTTCCCCCCCGTCGTTATACGCGCGTCTCTCACGTGTGTCGGCCACCATGACGATGGGGTGGTGTGATATTATTATGATGTATTATTATTATATACGTATGCCGGCGGTAGTACAATTTTTGTAGCACAAACGCACGGCAAAGAAAGGTCGGACCAGTAGTACAGTAGTTTCGGAACATCTGGCAAAGTGGCATCCGATGTAGGTAGCCGCAGCAGCGTTCGGGTCTGACTACTCAGACGGCACCGCCGCCGTCATGGCGTGTTTACCGATTCCCTCAGTTTCGATCTGGCCCGTGACCAATGCTTCGCGAGGGCATGTAAGCGAGCGAAATCTTAATATTTTTAAACGATATATATATGTTTTGTATATTATTACTTATTGAAATTATAATATTTTAATATTCGTTTAGGTTACATTATTACATTATAATTATAGGGCAGAGGATAATATCTAACTCTAAAAAAAAATATACAAAACCCGTTAAATATGCAAGCACTTATATGCACGTAAAAATTCTAAAATATGCTCTACTAATATAAAAATTATGTATTATGGCCAAATCAATTAAAAAAAAAACAAAAAAAACACCGTTTTGTTTTAATGGAACTTTTAACTATTTAACTCGATTTACTTAGTATAGTATAGATGCTACGAGTACATTACATTAAATGATTGGTGAATTTGACTGATTAATAAACATAATTGGACATTCGTTTTTCTGATACTAAAAATTAAAATTTTAAATATTTTTATTAGATATTCGTTTTTCACATCAAGTTAATAATAATTTAGGCTGTGACTTATGGCTATACAATCTAAGCATAGGTACCAAAAACAGTTTGTGTAGTTATTCACTGTATTTCATTTAAAACAATTTTAATTATTCGTGATGGAGATTTTAAGCTGATATCGAAATCCGATGTATTCTTGTGTGCAAAGTAGGAATGACTTTACACGTTTCAATATAGCAGTATTCATATTATATAAACCTAACAATATTATTAATTAAAATAAAACTGTACTTATTGTCATGTTTTTACGATTTAAAAAGAATTTGCACACGATATATATTATTATTTTATTTTATTTTGCAAATTTACAAGCGTAGCTCTTGTTTAAAAGTATAATATGCATTAGATATATTAGATAATATTATACATTATATATCGTTGAAACAATAAAATATATTTTAGTATCAAATTAATGAATGGGGGGCCTATATTATAATCAAACTAGTGTCGGTTTAATAGGGGCAAAGGAATCCTTCTAAGTGATGTAATATAAACCCAAAACCAGCATGAATGCGAGTTGTATATTATTTTAGAGTAGGTAGTATAAGTTGGTAGGTATCTGATTTCTAAGTGTACCATTGAGAGAGGGGGTGGGGAAATGTCGGTTCTTGGTTGCTTACATCTGCTATACATATGACATAATATACAATAATAATATACTTGTATGTATAAAATTATTTGATTATTTAATTTACGTATATATTTAGGTACAGGATTTTATTTTATTTAGATATCTTATACTACCAATGATGCTTATTATAGACGAATAATTGTTTTATTAATTAGGATTTTTGTATTTTTAATGTTCCACCTGTCGACCTGAAGATACTATTATTATTCTCTCTGTACATTATATGTGCCATTTCAAATAATATAATATTGTTATCTTTCGAAAATATTTAGCAAAATTATCTAATTGTAGATTCGGAGAGTAAAAACGCGGAGAAAAATTTCGTTTTTCGTATCCAAAAACGTTTTTTTTAGATTATTGTTCGTGTAAAATAAGTTTTAATTTTTCCCGTGTAACGTTTTTTTATTGCGTTTGAGACGTTTTAGTCTCTCATTTTAATACGTTGAATCAAGCCAATTGACTAGATTTATTTACTCTTAAAATTCACAAAAAAAGCGCTTAAGAACCGTCAAAAAGCATAAATGATTAAAGAGTTTAAAAGCCCCCATACTTTTTTCAGGGATTATTGGCGTTTTAAAAGGCTTTTATTGTTGATTTTAAAAGCGTATTAATCCGGTCTTAACTTATAGGTTATAAGTGTAGTGGATCTGGGGGGCCTTTTATTTATTTTAGAAATCGCTCTCGTCCGTTCTTATGTTCCTGTAATAAGTGGTCATAATAAAAATATAAATAAGAATACCAAATCGCCGTTGAAAATAATACAATACGAGACAGATTAATATAATTATAAGATAATTATATGGTATTTGATAATAGTAAAATGACTTTCAGGTTTCACCGACGTGCATGAAATAATTATAAAGATTAATTAAGAATTAAGGAGTACGAAAACATTTCAGTTTGTTTCACAATTTTTCGTGTAATGTTTTCGTATTCGCAAAACATTTTTACTTCCTGAATATACTAGTTGTCGTTTTACGGATTATAGATTCATTGATAATAACAATGTTATTGTTATTTTATTAGGTACCTATAATCATTTAACCGAAAAAAAAAAATCCCGTGTAAATATAAAATAGCCAATGTTATGATTGGCGATTTGCTAAATGGCCACGAGTATGTTATTATAGCTAGTTAAAGAGGAAAAAAAAACTATTTCTTTTGTATGTATTGTAATATATTATGTATTGTAACTTATGGAATTGTGTACAGGAAAAAAAAAAGGTAATTTTGCGGATCATGTACTTTATGTGCTAACCTTTTTCAACGTAGGTACCTGCTACCTGACTATAGACGGCGTTCTTTTTTTCTTTTTAATTTATCTTTGTATAATACATTGTGTCGGCAAACAGTAAAACATATTATTTGTATTGGAAAAATTTGGTATTATATTTAACTAAAAACTGCATTTAAATCCTAAAAAAACAATATCGAGTAACTCGAGTAATTCGGATTAACCGTAGTTGATTTTTTTTTTTTTTATTATTATAACTCGTGATATTAACTCTTTCGATAATTATTATATATAATAATAATCATAAAAAAAAAAAAAGATTCAAATATATTTAGGTAAATTATTATTGTGTGAAGTATTTCCGTTCAAATTTATAAACTGTATAATATGTACCATTTATTATGCAACCAAAGTGGTTATATTATAGATTACCTTATAATAATAATTACGGTATAGGCACACTATGAGGAAATGTCGTACCTATATTCCTGCAGCGTTCATACTATACTTGATTAAACGTTTTTATTTATCTGCGATTAGTACCAGCATTTTTGTAATACACGGATAGATATTACTACAGATGGTTATCTTATAAAAATTGAACATTCTCAGTACATTTGTCATTTCAGAATATCTACAAAAAATATATGATAATTTAAGCGCACATAACGCGTATCTACGAACAATTTGGGTCGCATGTCTACCTACTTTACACCCGATAAATAAAACGTACAGATTTAACTGCCGTAATGCGGACGATACAATAATGTTGTAAAATAATTATCGCGTAAATATTACGTTATTGTTATCGTATATTGTTATTTGTGTTCGCGCGTTTGTTCGGGATTCGGTGTAATATTATTAATTATCGTTGCCGCATTATCGTACGCGCATCGGTAATATTCACGGTCTCGGTAAAACCCTAGTATCTTTTGGAATATCCGCGAGCGCGGAGACGAACAATATTCGTTCGCGTGCGTGTGGATACGTTCGACTTATGACGTATTATTCGTGTATATATATATATCAATCGGGAAAAACAAAAAAAAAAAACGTATTCATTAAACGCGTTATTGTTTGAACAAAACATAACGACGAGCGACGAGCCGCGTGTATATATATCGTATTGTTTCGACAAAACGCGTGTCTATATATAATAAATAAATAAATACATATTATATATACACAATATAATATGTATATATTATTATGTATTATTATCCCGCCGAGCACTCCGCAAAGAGAGAGACGTCGATGGTTGGCAGCAGTGTTGCGCGAGAGGGTCTCTCGGTAGTTGTACGATACTATCCTCTCGCGTTTTATTATGCCGTATATACCGCGCGGCATGATATAATATATTATTATTGTAGCGGCAGGGGTCGCCAAACCGCGAGCCGTAGTTTTCGTCTACGGATCCCGTGTAAAAAAACGAATACGCAATTTTTTTTTTTTTTTTTTATTATCCCCATCTAAATTTCACTACTACTACTACTACTACTACTATTAGCGCTACTGCTACTGCTACTGCTACTGCTACAGGACGCGGTACTGTATAGCCCCGTTGTTAGCGTTATTGTTTCGCGAAACCCGGTCGTACTACGGCGGCAACAGGTTTCGCGGGCGTGTTACGCGAGGCAGGGTCGTACTACCGCGCCGGGCTACCGGGTTTGATCCGCGATTACAGAAATATCACGAGAATATATTGTTTTCCGGCGGCGCGAAAAAACCGACGTTTTTTTCCCCGGGTTCGCTCGCCGAGTAAGCGCGCCGGGGTTTTTTTTTTCTTCTAAAACCGACTCGGCGTACCGTGAAACAAAAACAAAAAAACAAAACCCGAATAGTTGGTGACCCCTGGTACACATTATTATATTATAGCGTTGTAGTAATAGTATAGTAATAGTATAGTAATAGTAGTAGTATAGTAATATAGTAATGGTCGCGAGCGGCGGCGGCGGTGGCGGCGAAGGCATAGGCAGGTGGTAGTACGGCGGCCGCGGCGGAAACACAACAACGTACGGCGGTTCCGAAGAGGTGGTTAGCGATATTATTACAGAGCCTGTTGCTCCTTCGATGCAGCGGCGCGGCATCGCGTTCATTGCATACACCACGGTTTCAGTGTAACGGCGGCTTTCTGTGACAATGGACACGCCGAAGCCGTCCTAGTCCCGCCCAGCAGTGTGTGGCTTAGACCTCGTCGACGTCGTTCGTCGTTCACGTGCAATCGTGTGCAGTGTGCGTGGTGTTTGTGTCTGTGTGTGTGTGTGTGTGTGTGTGTGTGCGAGCTCACGCGCTTTTGTGTGCGCGCGTGTGAGTGCAGCGGCCATCTGTGCCGCCGCGTCGTGTTTCGCGTGTGGCGCAAAGAAAAGGATAAAAAAAAAAAAAAAAAAAATCCAAAAAGGGCGCTCTTCAGAGACGATCCCGTGTACCCCGACGATTGTTGTCTTCGTCATCACCGTCATCATGCACCATTATCGGTCCAGAGAAGACGAGACCGCCTGCGGCGGCGGCAGTGACCCGTATTTCTATTTGAGACTGACGGCCGGCTCGGCTCCTTACAATAACCCCATCAAGTTGGAAGTCGACGTGAAACCCGAATCGCGAATAATGACGCCCGTCACGTCCTCCTGCTTGCAGCAGCAGCAACATCAGGGTTCTCCGTCCGAGGTGCTGATGGACACCACTGACGGCGGCGTGGTCGTCTGCAAACAAGAGGAGAGTCCCACCGGCATAGGGCTGCTGGCCCTGACCCAGCTCGACGGTTACGGCGGCTACAAGACGGCGTACGAAGACGCCGAGGACGTTAAGCCCGACAAATACTCGTACGGCCGATTGATATATTCATCGCCTGATGATATCAAACATCAGGTATAATATTCTTCGATAAAATTGTTTTTCTCACCACTTATGTTTTCGGCCATTATCCATCGAATCATTCCGCAGCGACCGTTGTTTCAATCGTCGCCGCCGCCAAGTGTTTTGTTAAATAATATTTAAACGGGACTTTACGAGATCTCAACGAATGTCGCGCTTGCGGTCTGTAGAAAAACGTAAATTATGAGTAGTTATTGCGATTGTTCAAAAACAAAGTATTCGTGTTTTCGACTTGAAGATAATGGTCTGAATGGTTTTTAAGACGGGTTCCTAATAGGAACTTCCTATATTCGTAAACATAGGAACTTCCTATATTTATTTGGACATTATGATATTACATTACTCGCGTGATAATATCGAGATTGCGTTCGTTATCGAAACAAAATTCAAAAGTAGTTTTACTCGTTGTACGTTCAAATGGTTCGTTTTTAAATATTTAATAACAATTGTAATCACTTATTGTAAAATCCGTTATTTGAGTATTTTTAGTTAAAATAACAGAACGTTATACCCGGATGTGTTGGTCTCCGTCTTACAAACGTACGGCAGCGAATTTACGTTCAGCAGGAACAACTTAGTACATTATTAAATCGCGACATTTCGCATACCCATGTCTCTTTTAAAAATTAAAATGTCGAAATTAAATAATCAAAATTGCATTGATAATGTTCTTACCTTTAAGTTTTATAATAGGTCAATTCAATCTCACATTAAAAACTAATCGCACAACGTTGTCCCCGCTAAACGTAAATACGTACGTACATTTGCAAAGTCGCACATTTCCAAAACGGTGACTGTACACGCGTGTATAGTGTACTCTTATTTGTTTTTTTTATATATATAGTTCGCTTTTGAATTTGAAGAAAAAGCTGTTTATGCGTTTGCTTTTTACATGTTCAAAATACACGTACGATTTTTATCGGATTAGATTTCCAATCTGTACGCGATCAAAATATTTCATATAATATTACGACGATCGCATAGGTAATGTTAATTAATATAATAATAATAATAAGGTAACCCCTATCATCCGATGTAACTCGTAAACGACTTTGGAACGTCTTGGAATGACTGGGTGTCGTGATAATAATTTTAAATTAAATTTCCCGCACCGAGATGCGAGATTTTTTTCACGTGTGTGCGTATGTATGTATGTATGTATATATAACTTTTTAGAAATTCCGCAGACAGCTGTTTTTAAGTTAAACACGGATCTCGTCGAGTATGTCGATTTATAATACATATTTCCCTCGAGTAACATATAATATAATATATTATAAATCGAAATGAGAATTGGTTAAAATGTTTGGCCTGGTTATTGAAAAGTTTAGTAACGTTTTATCGAATTTATATACACTGCTATAAGCAACAGCAGTTATATCGCATGAAGTTGCTATAAGTAGGTCTTTATTGTTGATTATATTATATTTTGTAAGGTGAACCAAACCAAACCAGTTGGCAGATGTTATAAAACACACCTGCCTGCATCCTTACAACAATGGTTTCCTACTCGCCGTAGCTCCAAAGTATATAATAATTTGATTCTTTTTTCCTCCGTTCTGTCTGATGCCTAGAAGCCGGCTTAAAATTTAATAAATTTAATATTTAATGTTTTATTCTTAGGTGGGCGCAAACCTTGATTGTTAACTAACAAACGCGCGTATTCTCCGCGTTCGCACTTATTCGATAATCCGCACGAATTAAACAATAATTGTTTAGAGTATTAATATTTTAAAATTACTTTTTTCTTTTTTTTTTTTCATTTCGTTTCTGAACATTTTAAATTCTAGGTTATTAATTTATATTGCATAGCAATATCATGTTAATCGAGTTAAATTAAAACATACATTATTGTAGGTGATATGAAATTTCAATTCAGTATTTTTGATAAATACCTACTCGGAATACATGTTATATTCGTATATAAATATTATAGCGTGCTCGTTGTTTCTTTCTAAATCGACAAACAACAAATTATATTCTGTGTTTTGTTTCTGAATAGCTTCCATAAAATCGAAATTTTCAATTTAGGATTTCTTCGAGCTTTGTGTAAAATACTGTTCATTTTGATAAAGTTCCAAAAAAAAAAAAAAAAGAATGCGTTTATTTTATTAGCAATTGTTCGATTGTCGTCTATAAAATACGTTCCTATTCCGTGTCTTGAGACTTTGTACCTTTAACGTGTTATTTCCGTACGTTCTCTTCGTATTATCGGCTAAAAATTTAGAAAACGCTTGTCATTTTAAACAAATTAACCCTGTGCAAGATTCTTCTAGTACAAAGGTTCGCTTACAAAACCAGAAGATAATCAAAGTATCTATGTTAAATTCAATTTCAACATATTGCATTTTTCGAATTTACATGCAGAACATGTAAATATTGTTCATCATATTAGAAACAGGATAAAAAGTTCGCGACGATGTTTGTAGAGGGCTTTTAAAACATTTATTTAAATACATATTTTGTATATATTGTGTAGAACACAATATATCGTGTATTTCAATATATTGTATTTTGTATTATAATTTAAAAAAGGGGGAAAAAATACGTTATAGATATAATCGTAAATAACATATTATTGAACCAAAGCCCAATTATATTTTTATATTATTAGCAATTTAATATTCACTTCCTCTCGTAATAGTACACGTTGTATGGACTTTCCACATTTATATGATTTATAAATCAACTGCAGGTATATTGTATCCAATTTATTTATTACCATCGACTAATATCGATCTGTTATAAATATTATAAATTATAATAAACTGTAAAATCAAATTGTTGCGTTTGGTGGTAGGTGCCGTTCTAAATATGCGAAATCACGTTTTATTCGTACGTTGTTGTCACTTTAATTTTTTTTTGTCTAGTTTATTTACGAAAATTTGAATTTGAAAAAAAAAAGTCATCAATTTTACAATTAATGTTCATTTTTTCAGAAATTACAATAATATACTGTATAATATGGGCGGTTCACTCGTATTCTAACGTTAAATCTTATGTGTAGATCTGTACGCTTTTTCTTTTATTCTTTGAACGTAAATTGTGGCGTTTAGTTTGAAATTAGAGTTGAAACACACAAAAAAAAAATTTAAAGAGGACGATATTTTTAAGTAATAACAGCCATGTTAGTTTTGTATTTCTTTAAATGATTAATTCATTACATTTGGTTATATGTGATCAAACTCCAATTTCAATCTAAACGCTACAATTATTGTTCTAAGTAACGTAATATCGTGCGTTAGTAAGACGACAAAGAAAACACATGCTGATATAACATCCTCTTCAAGTTTTCGTTGTGTCTATGTCTCACATATTTATAATATTTATTAATAATCGATAAAATATATTGTTAAAACCAAAGTACGTACCTATACATTTTGTGCGATTTTAGATGTTGAGCGGATAATCCAGTCCCAAGAAATAAGTGCTGAAGTCAATTTCATAAAAAAAAAATAATAATAATAAATAACAGAAATTATGGAATTTAAGAAAACTATGGAAAACAATAACATGTGAAAATTATGAAAAAAAAAAAAAAAATGCAAACAATTGACTTAAGCCTTCTTCCTTGGAATAAAACGAATTATAACATCACAGTTAATAATTTCAGTACATCTACTGAGCACCTACTGAATTATTAATTTTTGAAACATGGTCGTTTATCCAATCGTGTAGTTGAAAAATCGAGTACCTGTATTATGTATCCGTTGTTAACCACTGTTTCGTGTAAAATGATACCTATTATAGTATACTTGAATATTATATACTAGTACTTTTATCGTTTTACAGAATATTGTGTAAAACGCTGAGTTTTCAATACAAAATCAACATTTTTTAATTATTGCGAGTTTTAATTTTAAAAAATTATGTTCTGAATGGTATGAATACGATTTTGATTTCCTTTTTTTTTTTTCATTATATTTTAATATAAACGCGGTCTAATTTCCGAAATATTTTGTTTCTTTTTTAACGTAACGATTTGCAAATAATTATTTTATTAAATTACTGTTTTTTTTTCCTTTCTGTATCTCCGATTTTTATTTTTTAATTATACGGTGAAATTTGGATTTCTATCACGAATGATGACAATTATTTTAATTTATCGACCTGACCCCGTTTATAGAGTAGTCGTTTTAAACGCGAGATTTATCTATATTTCGTTAATCTGTTTAATATAATATTAGAACGAATAATACAATATTATTACATTATAATTTAGGTTTCCCACAGAAACCATAATATTATTGTATATAGTCATTAGTCAATTATTTTGTCTGTGTACTTTAATCATCTAAAATATACTAAAATTAACGAATAAATTAGATTATTATTTTTTTTTTTATGTGTTTTACGTGAGTACAATATTTTTTCAAGTATTTAAATTCGGAGCATGCCGGAAACTGTTACAGATTAGGTATAATTTAATTAACTGAATTTAATAACAATAACATTGTTTTTTTCTTGCGTATTTACAAAAAAACAAAGCCATTTGCTTTTAGTCTTGTTATTGTATAAGGTATATATCGTTATTATTGATTATTATGTATATTATTGAACTGTTTCTATTTAAGTGATGAGTACTATTCAATAATATATTATGTGTAATGTGAAACGCGATTTATCTTTGGTCCCTGCAGCTGTATTCTGAAACTCGTTAGTAGCCTTATCGAATAATTTCTAAGCTATCGATAACGACCGTTATCAACAAAAGTAAAAATACACGATTCTCTAAATAATTGATAACAAAAAAATAAATCGTTAACTGTCAAATTATTATCGAAAATATTCGATACTGTATCGGACTTTTTATAATGGCCATTAACCCTTATCAAAAGTTATCGTTATAGTTTACACGTGTTAGACAAATTGAGTAAAAAGATGTAAGAGATTTAAAATAATTATTTCCAATTCCTGTCATGAATTCGTGAGTTTATTGTTGTTTATTTATTTTTTCATCCAGATTTTAGTGATTATCACATTACTCAAAACAAAACATGGCTTTGCACATTTCGGGATATGAGTGAGATGTTTTAGAGGAAAACCTCCGGATAGTTGAGAGGTAGTTGGAAAAACGGATCTTACGTAACACACAAAATCTTTATTTTATTTTTTTATTTTTTTATTTTTATTTATTTAACGGACGAGGCCCTTTTTTACATAATTTGTTTAGAAAGTAAATTTTAAAGCAATTAAGTCCATGCATAGTTAAATATAAAAAAAAAATAAATAGAATAAAGAAACTTAAACTAAAAAACTAGGATCCACATGAACTATAGGTACCGAGAAGAGAGTTTATGGATGAATTTCGTTAGCTTAAGTAGATTTCGTATTACAATTTGAATACATGTAAATTCAATTTTGAAAATAACTTAATGGCTGGCATCGTTGTTAAATGGTTAAATTACTTAACGGTTAAAACAGAATGGTATATAATTATACACCTAACTTACAAAAAGTATATCGTAGTGACTGATTTGATAATTTGATTTTTGATATAACATGTATTGTGTGTACTATACATACACTTATACTATTTAGACCAAAATATAAAGGGCATCAATATACATAAGACACAATTATTAAAAAAAAAAAATAGCTGATACTGCGGATGGGGGATGTGTCTCTGTTGTAGGTGAGAAGTTGAAATGATATGATACATTCAAATATTCTGACCGAACTACTTAAAAAATCAAAAATATCTATATGCGTACAAACTAACTAGATAAAAAAATGCAACAAAAAAGATTTCTTATTGCTCATTCTAAAAGTTACTCACAAACACAAAAAAAATAAAACACTGTAAAACCAATTAATTCCTTTGCTACCCTCCGAATAAAATTGAATTAAGTTTAGAGTTTTTCCCTTTGACCAATATTTCTTTTTGCCCAAAATTGAGTTTCGTGTGCAGATTTTCGTTTAAGTGTTTGAATTTTACACCGGTCAAATCATAATATTATTTAAAACTGTGCTAAAACCAGCGCTCATTGGGAAAATGATTAACACATACGAAAAAAAAAAAAAAAACCTGTAATATTTTGTAGACATTTAACAATCGTTTTATTTACTTGTACAGAAAAAAATGACAAGGAAGTAGTTTTACAATCTATAAATCATAATAAATATTGTATACATTGTATGTTATTGTTTTGAGTACGAAACTATATTTTATTTATATGTGTACAAAACGTCATAATTTATAATAACAGGCGATATTAATTCATATAGATCTTTTTTTTTCGAACGAAACTGATAAGATATTATTTTAGTAAGCATAGGTAATAAGTATTACCTATACTTGCTTATCATTATCATATTGGTCTAAAAGTATTTTACTCGCTCGTATTATAGTATTTATCAATATCATACCAATAGTTGAACCAAACGTATTTTTCCCCTTTAGATTTCAAGGCCGCTTTAACGCACATTTTTAATTATTATTTCTATAATAATAATATTATGGCCATAAACTAGAATCATAAAGTCTTAGTTGTGTAGCTAGTTAATACTTATTATCGATCTCTGTATAACGGCTCGCTAAAATCCTATTCTATTTTTATTTAAGATTGCAGATTGATTCGAAATATATAGTATTGTATATTTAGCATAACAATAATCCGGAGCTAAGCCTTCCTGTTTCGTTTTTGAAAGAAAGGGACTAATCGACGATAATATAATAACGAGATTCATAACGCGGTATATTCTTATAATAAATTATATTTCTAGTTGAAAATTGCATAATATAATAACATTGAACTATTCGAATAGCCTTAAGAAAAAATATTCAATAGTTTTCCCGAATAAAACTTTGGTTGTGATGAAAAAAAATATTCAAATTAGACATTTGTCCAAACCAAACTATCCATATATGTAATATAAATTATTCGGAAGTGTCCATGTAATTCAATCAATGTATTATAGGAAAATTAATTTTGTCTTTAAACTATATTATACTATTTACGAGTGGCTTTTTATTTAGTCGTGATGTAACAGTTCGGTGGGTAAACTAACTGTTCGTTAGTCTTTATTTATTTTTTTTAATACGTCTATTTAATGGTTATTAAAATATACACATATATTATATTACAGAGCGAACAGTATATTGAGCGTACGTTTTCATCGTGGTCACAGCTCATAATATTATTGTTAATAATGATGACTTTACCAAGTTTATAATATCATATCCGCGCGTATAGTATAGTAATAATAAGTATATTCTTATTCATGCATTTTAACATAGTATAATATATAGGGTAATGAAGCGAAAAAAAAACGGTTGTTTGCATTTCCAAAAGCTTTTTATTGTTGTTGGGAAAAATGAAACGAAACGTAGTTTAAAAAAAAAAAAAAAAAAAACGTAAAAAGTTTCAACGACGAAGTATTAAATATTCGATATAATTAAGTTCATTAATTTGTATCGTCGTATGATGACACAATGTTCATTGTTTACTACTAATAATAATACTTAGACCGTTTAAACGCAATCCGCGTTATTATTTTGGTATTGTTACATAGTAAAAAAAAAAACAAGTTTCCATAAAAGAACCCCTGCAGTATTATAGGTATAATACATAAGTATAATAATAATAATAATAATAATAATATACCCATATTATATCGTTCGACGTGTCTTTATACTTATTATATACGAGCATTATTACTATAATATATACTAGTTCGTTATGTTCTTGTTTTCGTCATTCATTAGAAAAAGAAATAATCCATTCACGTAAGTATCCTTGAAGATGCATCTGCCATTGTGCAGGTTATTTTTAACGCATTCAGGGATTCCGTTTCTGTGTATTGTAATAATAATATTATACTCCGCGAGTGTATGATGATGTTGTTATAAGGTCAATCCCGATGCGAATATAGTAAGTATATATTGCATTGCGAAATCGTTTTCCATTGTCCGAATGAAAATTTTTTAAATTTTTTCTCGTCACCGTCAACCTTGTAAATATTATCATTATTATAGACGTTCCTGTATAACGTGTTAGCAAAATCACTAATATATAATTTAATATATATATTATATCGGTTTATACCTACCATTTATTTATTTGTTTTCTATATTTTAACGTTGCACGTCTTGAATTTTAAATTCAAATTGAGTAATCGATTATAATTTACTTTTCGTATTTTATACCTATACCTACTATTATGCATCGTTTATATATATTTAGAAGAGAAGGGCTTCAGTAATTTTGTACAGTTGTAAGTTAGAGCAAATTTTAAAAATTGCCAAATGACCTAACCTAAATATAACGTTCTATTTAGGCTCTGTATAATTATACGAATCGTGTCCTTTTTTTTAAACGAAAAGTATATCATAAGGATATTTTAATTTTCAGTGTAACAACAATTATGCTATTTAGATAACAAAAAACCAATGTAAATAATAAAATTGTACAAAATAAAATTATATAAATTCCAAAAGTTGACTTGAAATCCTGTTTCCCTGGGACCAATGCATGTTGAAAAATAATATTATTTAGGATAATATTGATAACATTTTGATATGACATAGGTACTGGAAATTTATATATTTTGGTTTTAATTTGATCGGAATTTTTTTTTTTTTATGACTCCTATGGTATATATTTGTGTTTTAAGACGATCGGATATAACAGAAATTTGTATTTTAGTCAAATTGATAATTTTAGAATAATCGGACTAATATGCACAACTCAATTGTTGCATTCAATTGAATATGCTCGATATATTATTATATATATTATATTATATTATTACATATATTATATAACATTTAGTACGATTATATAGTGAATGTATATTTTTTTTCTCTATCTGTAAACAATTTTTCTGCCGAAAATGTTGCTCCGATCGTTAAATATAGTATCTTTTCTAAAAGTAAATGTTTGAGGAGGCTGTGTTTTGATTTTCTTTTTAGTATTTTTAATAATAGAGATAATATGTAAAACAAGTGAGAATATTATATATATTTTACGCAATAACAGTTTCTGTTATTTTAGTTTTTTTTTTTTTTTATTATTGTAATTCGATTAGATATATTCATGGAAACCTGACATTTTCACCGAATGTTATCCAAAAAATGTTAAAATATCAGTTCATTGGTAAATAATTAGTTAAGAAAACGATAAAACATTGCTTGACGAAAGGCTATTCCGAGCGCAGTTCGGTAATACATAATTTGAAGTGCCGTATTTTTTTTCCCCGATTTTCGTTTAAATTTGATTTTAAAACACTTATTAAAAAAAAAAGTGGTCCTATTATTTTGGAAATGTTTCCACGTCTAATATTAGGTAATATAGGTGTAATATAGGTAAGTCTAATATTAGTATTATTACCAAGTTTCAAATCTTTACGTGTATTTATAACCAAATTACAGCGAAAAAATTACCAAAAATTAAAATTTCTTAAAAGCGAAAAAATTTTGACGATGATACTGTAGGAAATTAAATCAAAAAGGCAACATAAAAGGTGTATTGTGATTTTTCATTTAAATCATTTTTTCTTGTAGAAAACGTAGTCCGTATTTTTATAAAATCGTAAAACTACGTTTTCCTACGTTTTTTCCCCACTTAAAAGCATTTATTTATAAAATGGCGTCAAAAATCTGAAAATTACCTATTTAAAGTACAATCTAGACAACTTAAGCTTTAAGAAAAGTTGCTACACGTAAAATTCGGAGCAAGTTTACTAGAAAAAACGTATCCACAGATTAGAACAAAGAAATAAACGCACGATGAGTGAGGCTCTTTTGTATGTGAAAAGTTGGGAAGGTAGGATATATAGGGGATTTTAATTATATCTGTAGTCAATGATTTATCTTTGCTAATGAAAAACGATTCGGAGCGGAGTTCGGTTTTATATGTTTTGAAAAGCCCGCAATATTTACGATTTTTTAAATTTATTATTCAATTTATTTATTTACGAATATTCTTATAAATAAAAGTTCTACATTACACTAAATTTTTTTTTAATTTTTAACCAAAAAGTACGACTTATAATGAATCTCCTGTTAAATTTCCAAGAATTTCTGTTTGATCTATCAATTTTTTCCCCAGAGTACATGAATACAAATAATGTAAAAATGATTAAAATGTTTTGAATATTTGATCACATTTAGAATAGGCAAATATAAAAGGCAAAAGTTTTCTGTCCAAATTTCAAGTTTCTACGAATATGCTTAACTGAATTACAACAAAAACAAAATTAGAAATAATACATTTCATAAATTTTCCCTTTTTTTCCCCAATTATTACAAAAACAGTTGGACAAATCTAAAAAATGATCCTACAGTGCCACTGAGATAACGCTACCTTTCAGAAAAGGTGCTATACTTGAAAATCGAATGAAAATTTCTGGTAGAAAAGTTGTTCACAGAAAAAATAAATAAATATCATTATCAAACCAAAACATTCCTCACTCCGTTTATAATATACTACACGTACCAAAGTAAAACCATAATAATTCACACTGGTCTCAAAATCTAAAATCAGTAATAAATAAAATATAAAAATCCATATTATGCTTATCGGTAGAATTTGATTGAAATCTACATAAATGTATGTACAAATACAACACATGAATGCAAAACAAATATTGTTCAACACACGTTTTTTTTAGTGTGTAAAATAAGAATTTTAAAGAATACAACGTACACCGTAAAGTGTATCGTGGTTTTTGGATTCTGGTGAAGCGAGGAATGTATTAATATTATGTTTTTTTTTTTATATCTATAAACAAATTTTCTACAGGAAATCTTTCTCCAATCAAAAACTATTCAGGAACTTGTTTGTAGCATTTTTAATCTATTTCGTGCAAAAATGGTTTTTTGCAGCTTTGTTAATTTTTTGTATTATTTTTGTTGATATTTCAATTAACTTGACAACATAGCGAAAAATACTACTAATAATAAACTGCTCTGAATCGTTTTTATTGGCACTGGTTTATCGTTGCGTACAAATATAAATTAAATTACACTTTATATCCTCCCTTCCAACTCTCTTAAAACCGTTCTAAGTACATCCATATTTTTTTTTTTTTTTTTTTAAATATCCTCTTCCTATTTTGATTATTAAATTATGGAGTTGTTGTGTGGGAAGATAAATATAATATAGTATATTACCTGAATTACTCAGTATTTTTCGATCTCATCTTTATTTCTCGCATATAAGTGGTTGTTACCCGGTAACATATTTTTTAAAATGGTACCTACTTCCTTATCTGTGACAACCAAATTAAATATAATATCTGTTTTTTTTTCATGCGTGTCACCAAAGTAAGCTATAAATCAACAAAGAGATCAATTTTCGTTAAAAAAAAATACCAAAAAACGTAGATTCGAACTTGATTTTATATATTATACCTTTGGCTATAATATAGAAGAGATGGATTAGTGATGGGATTGTTAATCGCTTAACTAACTATTTGTCGATCCGACTTTGATAGAGTGATTTAGTCGAACGTATTATACGCGAGTATACGGCGTATAACTTCCATTTTTTAGTTGATACGTTGCGTATACTTATAATAATATAATGTAATCAAACAGATTTCATTGTTTTCACATTTAGTAGTAATGGTTATTAACATAAGTTGACATTTTTCACGTCTAATATCAATTTTATTTTATGGCATGGAAAATAGTTTAAAACGCCGTTAACAGCAGATACAATGCAATAATTTGAAGAAAAAAAACAACCAAAGTTGGTAATCAGTAATGGCATTTATTATTTAAGATCCACAAGATGTATTAAGTTGGTTCTTAGAATTTTTTTTTATTTAACATAGGTAGGTACTCATCAGTCTATACTCATTGTGTTTTGATGATCAAATTAAAAATACAAACATTTCGCTAAAATAAATGTTGATTAAATAAGTCAACGAATGATTTTTTAGAGAATTTTGTAGAGGTAGGTACTACTGATCAGTATATTTTTAAGTTTGTAACCATTAATAAAATATTAGATTTTTGAACTTAAAATAAACATTTGGGGGAGATTGACCCCACCTACTCCCTTTACTGATAATTGGCGTTTACTCAAAACTTTTTTTAGGACTACATTACTGCAACGATATTACAGCAATCAGTATTATATCTAGTCCTTAATGAATAAATATTCGAATTAACTAAATTATTAAATTTATTATTTTGACCTTGCCACGTGTCAGCAATTTCTGCAAAATTAACCGAGCATTTATTTGTGTAAAAAAATATACTTATCATGTTGTCACAGGATACTCCCGAAAAACAAAAAATTATTAAAAAAAATATAAGTATTTGAAAATATAATTATATTAATATGGTCCATGTAGGAAATAGTTATAAGTATATAATTATAATTATTTTACTGAAATGTTTTTTTCAAAAAAAAAGTTTTTTGTATATTCATAATTTAAGTATACAAATCAAGTGAACATGTTTTACGGAAAAACTCATGCCTCTTATAATGGTTCGATTTCGATACCTTACCTTTTAATAGATATCGGGTAGTAGATCAGTTAAAAAATCATTTCGCGGTAATTGAAATGTTAAAAATTATTTTTAAGTTTTTCAAAATTGGAGAAAATTCAAAAAACTGGCACCGGGCCCTGTAAAACAAAAATCTCTAGATATTGACGATATTACTGTATTAACAAGTCGAAATTTTTTTTTATTATATATATAGTTACTTAGAAAACCCAAATGAACAATGATGATCTCGTAGTATTATTATGTTACCCACGGTAAAATGGTTAAATGTTTAGAGAAAAATGTTTTATACGACAGCGCGATCTAGTGGTCTACTATAATAACGTTCTTATTTCATGTCATCAAGACTATTATATTAAATTTATTTTAATTTGATATTTAATAATGACAAATAGCATGATTTTAGTAAATTTCATTTATATCCTTATGTACAACTTCGACGCGCCGCTTATAACCGTGGACGAGTATAGGCCGTTCTTTAACTAACTTATTTACAACCGAGGGTGGGTATAGGCGGTTCTGTAACCAACTTATTTACAACCGTGATGCTACCGTATTGATTTTATTTAGTCTATTTTATTTCATATTTACTTAGGTAGTAATTATTCACAGCGGCACTCGAGATTTATTTTGTAAATAGACATCCGATGGTTGGAATATTATTATCGTTCACCATTTATTGTTTGTTAAATTCATAGCGAAGGCAGTAAAATATAAAGAAACCTTCTAATAGTAATAATTTTACATAAATATTTGTTTTATATATTGTTAGTGTAGGTAATCAATAATATTTAAGTGAAACATTTTTAAACTTACTCGTGATTTAAAATATAAACAAATTATACCATTACGTTCACTTTCTTTTTTTTGTTTTCCTCAAGTAAAACTCATGGTGAACTAAGTGTTAAATTTTCAAATTTTATTAGACCAAAACGATTTTATCCGCGTAAAACTAAATAAATATATTATTAAAAAAAACTCGAAAATGTAAAATACCTATAAACAACAATTTTATCACATTTTGAAAGTGTTAAAATTAGTATTCTATAATGATTTCAAGTTTACAATTATTTGTAATGGAATCACAACATAATCGTAAACTTTACTATTTTTTCTATATTTTTGTGTTTTACGGTTTTTCAATGCATTAGCCAAATAAAATTTACTTTCAGAAAAAATGCTACACTTAATAACCAGAGTAACATTTCTCATTGAAAAATTGTTAATAGGTAGAACTGAAAAAAACAAATGTAGTCAAATCAATCAACAATATACAAATATTTTTAATAATGAAAGCATAGAATTTTTAGAGTAATAATTAATTGGTAATGGATCAGAATATAACGATTTTGAGTTGTATATTATATCAATGGTGTATTATTGCTGCTTAAGTAGTACAGATTTATTTGAGTTGTCTTTATTTATATAGAATTCGTCAATTTTCAAAATGTGTACAAATGTTAAAAAAAAATAAATAATTTTTCGAAGTTTAAGTACATGTTTGTAGAACAAATAACATTGTAACAAATTTAGAGAAAACAAGTTTCTAATTTTAAATTTATAATGTTTACAAAAAAATACTTAGGTAAAAAAAAGAAAAACGTTGATAACAATATTTTTTATAGTATACTTATAGAATTTTATAGTATTACTGTTTAATTTAAGAACCAATTTTCAGTTAACGCCATATTTTGATGAAAACTCTGTATGCCTTTATGTCACACAAATTGTATCTATGCTTGGAGCATTTCTATAATAATTGCATTATTCCATTGGTGATTTTATCAATTTTAGTTTTTAACCAAATCAGTATTACGTTTAAACAATTCTTATATTTCGTTTGGTGCTTATATATAGTTCTTTAATAAGTACCTAATGTCCTGTTACCTATAGAAAATGAAAAGTAGAGTATTTTTTTTTTGTATACAAAATATTGTACCTGTGTTTCACTTACAAACATAATATTATTATTATAAACTTGGGTTTTATAGGTAATCATTTTTTTATCTCTTTTGTTTAGGCTGATTGCCCAGTATGATTAGTGCAATTTAAAATATAAAAATATAAAAGATAAAATTGTAAATAACACTTACTACAAATATCATATAATATTTCACAATTGATTTTTCTGTTTCAGTATGGTGGTGAGGAATTTACACCAGACTCAGCTCGTTTTGCTGCTCAAAAACCTGGTTCATCTGTATATAATACTGATTCCTATTACTTAGGTAAGTTTAAATTGTTATTATAATTTATTTATTATAATGTAATATATTTATGTATGAATTATTGAAGATGGTACAGGAAATAACAGTGATGTTTGGACCAGTGCTACTGCTCAACTTCAATCTCCTACGACTTATAATACTACATATACCAACCCACCTAACTCGCTGTTAACTACATCGCCCAACATGACGCCAAATAATTTTCCACCAACAAATGCAATGCTAACACCCGAAAATTTGGTGAGAATTTATATTATTTTTAGTTAAGTATTTAAAGATATTAAGTAAAATGTATTAATTTATATTATATTGTTACCTACTGCAGACATCATACTTATAAAAACAAATTCCTTCAATGGTAACATGATTAATATATTTTAGTATTTTTTTCTTTTTAAGTTTGATTTTGATAATAAGTAATTTTTACTTATTAGGGAGGAGATTTATGTTTTAAATTTTTATAATAACACACATGCTATAATATAAAAAAATAATTAAAAATGTCAATACTAAATGATTGGTTTTTTAGCATTATTCTTATATGAAACTACTTACTTAAAAAAAAATAAATTTTATATTCATTGTTATTGACATCTAAAATGTATCAGTTTAGATATAATCTTGTACAAACTTAACAATATAACTTGTGCTTTAGTAATATGGGCCAAATAATTGTATCCACATTTTAGTATTGATTGTAATAAATGTACCTATAATTATAATTAATGATTGTAAGTGATTAGTTGGCTTCTTTTAAACACTGTTATAAATACTATGTTATTAATAATAATATTAAAATTGAAAGTTAGAAATATTTGTTTCGTATCATATTTTTTTTTTTTTTTTGAAATTATTATTTGTTAATTATTCTGATTAAATACTATGATAATCAATGTTTATTTTCCACAGGGCTATAATACTATTGGTCCAAATGCTAGTATATCTCCCAGTGGTGTTTCACCTGCTACAGATGGCCTAGGTACTTCCCCTCTACCTCCAATGTCAAGTTTGCGTGGAGCTCCTCCTTCTGCTCCAAGTCCAATTGCAGTTACCCCTAGCTCAATGATGTACCCAGGACATAACAGTCCCACGATTCAAACTCCCGGGGATACACTTGGCAAAGCATTAGCATCAGTACGATATATTTATTTATTTGCTTTATTAATATTAATTATAAATGCTGGGGCAATCACAATAATTTATTGCTTAAGTTACCATTGAAGGCTTTTTGTCGCTTATTAACAACTAACCTATTCCATGACTATTCCTAAATTTATTATAAATATTTCTTATATCATGATTAATTTGAGTAATTATGAAGAAGAACAAGTTATAAATTTAATTTTTTTTTTGTTGGAACAAACCAAATTGAATCCTATCCTTGATATTTTACATCTATTTTGTGGTTTCAATGCAGTTATCTAGGGACCTAGACTAGTGGTTTTATTTTTATTTCTAGAGATGAAAAATTACAACTTCATATTGTTAACTTATTATTGAAAGACAAATAGAAAAAAAAATACAATTTCTTAAGAAACCACAATGTGTTATAGATATATCCTACAGACCAGAGTGTCAGTAGTTACAGTTCGAATCCGTCCACACCTATAAGTTCACCTCCACCCATGGCACAATTAGTGACTGCAAACAGTGCGGGATCTTGGACCCCTGGTGTAGTGCCATCTCTCCCTGCGTCTCCTCATTTCCCTACTGACCATCGCGCTATTAATTTGGTATGTAATATTCTAACATTTCTAACTCGTATATATATTATAATAACTATTCAGTACTAGTAGATTTAACATTAGTCACAGTGTTATGGGTTGCTGCATATTCTTAAATAAGTTTGAATTTCCATAGTGTAATTGTAATTGTAATTTGTTTAATATTACTATATAATAGGGTAGTCGAATGGAAGAACAATTGGATGATGCCATAAATGTTCTACGTAATCATGCAGAAAGTCAGGCTTTAAGTCTAGCTGGAGTTCAGCATTCTGCTTCAGGCATCGTACCATTGTATCATCAACATTTAGTAAGTGTTATTTATGTAATCATTCTTTACAAGAAAATATTTAAAACTAAATTTTAAGAGTTTTAGGTTTTTATAGTTTCATTTTTATTTATGTAAGTTATTGTTTAATTTTTAGGGAAGTCCTCATACAGCATCTGCTACAGTTGGCGGCCCAAATACTTATCAAACACTTTCAGCATGTCAAGATAGTGATGGACCTGTTAAAATTGAACGTCTAAGCAATATCAGTATGTATTTGATATTAGTGATTACTATTTATTTTCATAAAGTACCTCAATTTAATCTAATAATTGAATCAATTTCGGTTTTATTTTAGAAAAGCGGAAAGAACCTCCAGACAGTTCAGATACGAAGCCTACCAGCAGCGATAATTTGTTAGTAAATAACAATGTTAATGCCAATTCACCCCCACACAACTTGTCTATAATTAAAAATTCAAAACGGTCCCGTCGATAGTAAGTTTAATGTGCAAATTTTTTTCCCCCTTTTGTTTTTTAAGACACATTAACTTTAAATTAACTTCATATTTTTGTTTCGTAGAGGTGTGCAAGTATTAATTAGTAAGACTTAGCTAAGCCTCAAACGAACAAAATGTATTCATTTAAATTAAATTAAATATTTTAATTTCAACCCACTAAAGATCAAATTATTTAATAACATGAAAACTAAAAACTATCGAGAGTCCATTTATAAATGTAATATATAATGTTTCAGTCAGTTTTACATTTTTCCCAAATACTGAAATGTTATATTATTTATTGGTTTGTATGAGAATTTAGTGTCAATTTCTGTGATGATAATAATTTTTGATCATTTTGAAAAATTATTTAGCCTATCACACAAATCAGCAATTTTGATTTTAAAAAAAATATTATTATTTTTAAAAATCACTAGAAATTTGACATACAATCTGATACAAATTGATATACATTTAGTACAATTTAAATGTACTTAGAATATTATATATTTATATATATATATCAATAAAGTAACTAATAATAAATCTGAAGCATTCAATACAAATAAACATTGAGATTTTACTTTTGTGTGCAGTTGAAATAACATTATGGCACACCTCTATTTATTTATTACTCATGGGTGGCTTTATAACATTCATTTAAATCATTATTTTTTCACTTTTACCATTTTCGCTTGTTAGTTGTTCTAGTGCAGACGAAGATGGAGAAGACCCATCAACTAAAGCACACAGGGAAAAAGAACGAAGGCAAGCGAATAATGTCCGAGAAAGGTAAGTTTCAAGTCATTTGTATTATCTCATTTTCTTCAATTATTTAGGTATATTACTTAATTTTATAATAATTTTCTTTGTTTTGAAATTCAATTTGTGTTTATTTTTAGTATAGTTAAACTATTGTGTACCATATACTTTTTCAAAATTAGTTATTTAAGCAGTGTTCTGATAATTTGATGCAATTCTTCACCAAAAGCAATAATTAACGTCATGAAATACATGTTTAGAAATAAATTTTCATGACTATTCATATTACTACTAGCTCGAAAACTGTTTTGTGTATGTTTAAATTTCAAATTTTATTATTGGTTACAGATTTCTGTTTAATATTTAATAACATGGCTTAAATTTTTATGAAGTTACATATATTTGGTTTTTAAATTTTAACCTTTGTACATGTTTGTTGTGAATGTGCTAATTTTAGATAAAATGAGCTATTCAAATTTTATATATAAATTCATCTGTTTGGTCATTGGTTCTAAATTTATTATTTTTATATTTACAAAAGTCATTTTTAATAGTAACATTTTATACACATTACTCTATATTGTTCGAATTTTTTACTTGTAGATTTTAGATTAGTGAGCATATTGATTCACAGTATTTAATAGATTAATTGTTAATCAAAGGATATGCAATTTTAGTGTAAACTTAAAGCAAAATATTTTTGAACATTTTGAATATTAAGAGAGAGAGAATTTTATGCTAACTGTCAACAATTCATATTATCATCCTTTTATTGTTTTTACTATAAATGTCTGAATACAAATTTTAATTGGTGTCTTATTTTTGTACTTATTATTTTTATTTTTACACAATGAAGACGTTGGTCACTTTAATGAGAAAATAAGTTGATAGTTTTATTTAAAAAAAAAAAATGGTTTTACTAATTATATTTATGATATAAGTACAAAAAGAAAATCAATTTACTTTCAATGTAAAACTAAAATGGTGGCATATATTTATCACATATTAATTGCAACTACAATAAAATCATAATACATTTTCTTAATTAAATTTCTTGAACTATTAAAAAAAATAGTTTTTAACATAGTTGTTAAGCTTGAAACACTTTGTTGATGTTTTTATAATTGTTGTACAAGTTTGGACGACGAGAGCGAAGATCCTCTGATAATATCTCAACGGGAAAGGGAGCGTCGGCAAGCAAATAACGCTCGAGAAAGGTGAGCAAAAAAGCCAGCAAAATTGCGGCTCTTGGCTCCTTTTAAATTTGTATACTTAATTAATAAAATGGTTTCTCAAATCGCTTAAATAACAGTTAAAAAAAGTTAGCACTTAATACCATTATTGTATAGTCTATAACTACAATGAGTTCCATTTATTGTGATCACATTGGTTCAGGAAATTTTGATTTTACAGTAGGGTCTCATTATTTCAATTTGATTTAGGGGAAAAGCATTAGTTGGATTAACTATAACTTTAAATAAATTTGTTTGTAATTTAAACTCAGTATTTTATCTGTAATTAAATAAGGTAATGAATACAATTATAATCATCATATTAAATTACATAAATATTCATTTAAAAATATATATACAATTTTTTTTATATATGAACTCTGGTTCTTATATTATGTTCCTATACTGACAGTAATAAATGTAAAGTATTTATTAATTATATATAAACAATGTTGTACACGATGTGCTCATCTTAATTGTTTTGGAAAAATATGTCTAAATATAGTGATGCGATAATTCTCAAACCTATTCAGATTACTGCTCTTTTTGGATTAAGGAGACTCAACATATTAAACTAACAGATTCTATATTTATACTTTAAGTACTTAAAGTAATTTAAAAAAATACATTTGAAATAAATCATAGAAGCTATCGATTTTTAATTGGATAATCTTCCAATTTGATTTTCATATTAGCCTGAAAATAGGATGCATATAAATGTTATATAATTTTTAATTATGCATTATTTTATGGACCAAAACATTTTTTAACTTAATAAAAAGAGTAAGTTATTTCTTTTTCTTTTATTGATAATCTTTCTGTTTGCTCAACATTAAAGAAAAAGTTTTGATCATAATGTACAGTAATCTAAACAGGAGTACATGTTCAATACAGTATCACGCTCTGAAAAATTCAAAAATAAAATTATTATTACAATTAAATGTTATAAATTAATGAGTTTGAAATACCATAAAGTCAATAAGAATGTACCTAAAAGTGATTCTAATAAAAGGTCAGTTTAACATTAGTAACATAAGATTTGGTTTAAGATTTTCTTTTTTGATAAATAGTTGATTCTATAAACCAATGATTGGCAAATCAATAAGTGGAACTCGTATATAAATTATTATATTAATTTTAAATTTATATTAGTATTTAAAACCCATATTATATATATAGAGAGAGAGAGAGATTTATTTAATGGAGCAAATTAAATTTTTGAAATTTTGATATAGAAACCAATTTAAAAATTTTAAGGGCCCTTTTATCAATCTCCAGTTAGGAAAATTTAAATTCCAGCTAATGTAAATTCCCAGTTAAACTAGAAATGTGATTTTATTAGCACTCAGTAATATTTTTACCATAGAATAGTTAATTCGAGTTATTTGCCCGGTTAAGGAATTAAACTAGATTAGTTACAATGCTATTAGTAAATACCATGTGATAACATTTTGTGTGATTTTATTAATTTCAAATGATTTTTTTTTTTTTTTAATGTGTCAATACCACATTCAGTTAAAAAATTAATAAATTTGTTTTATTTCATACCTATTTGATATTGTCACAACATTATATAAAATCAACCTTAATTATAAATTCTTAATTCTTACTATTCTATTAAATGATTTGGTCAATTTTCTCATTGTTTTATTTTTAATGTTTGTGATAGTAGTATCGGTTTTTATTTTCTAAAATTATTTTTTATTTAACAACCAGGCTAAGTAGAAGTTCCAATTTGCAATCAATGAAATTGGTTGAATGCTCTCGTTTTGTTTTGAAACTCTCATTGTGAATAATATAACCTTACAATGTATAAATATAAAACAATAAGACATTTTATGTATATATTATATTAGTTTTAATTCTGAATTATTATTTATACAGAAAAAATAAAAAAATAATCTACAAATGTAAAATGTGAAATAATATGAGAATTATAAAATAGATTTGTTGTGCCAAATATTTTATGATAACAAAGAACAACTCACTGATTGAAGTAGGTGACATGTTCAATAATACTGATGTAACTAATTCCAATTGTATTTTTATAGTGAAATAATCTTCAGTTAGTTTTAATCTGATATTTGTTAGCTACTAACTAGATATTTAACTGATGATTGATAAAATGCCCATTAGTAAATGAAAAAAAATTATAATTAAGCATTCCAATATTATGCTCCACTCAGAATTGTTTTAAATAAAAACAACTGGTACATTAATAAAAAAAAAATAAATAAATAAACAATATTAAGGTGAGTAAAATGAGATAGGTGGTCCAACACCAAAATAATTGTCATAAATTATTTTTGATTATATTCTTGATATTTTAATGTATAGGTAATGCATTTTCATTATTATTTAATTTATAATAATTAATAATGTATGATAATTTTAAAAAAACTAGTTAATTGGATTACAAATATGTTTAAAATGTACTGTATTTTAATTTTAGTAAGAAACAATTAATAGGTTTTATTTAACAAAAAATACAATTTGAAATTTTAACTTCTTATTAGGTATCTATTTTTATAAAACTTGGGTCAAATAAAACTATATATTTTAATGAATTTTATTTTTTCAGAATTCGAATTCGTGATATTAATGAAGCTTTGAAAGAACTTGGTCGAATGTGTATGACACACCTAAAAACGGATAAACCACAAACAAAATTAGGTATTCTTAATATGGCGGTTGAAGTAATAATGTCATTAGAACAACAAGTTCGAGGTATATCAAAATAATTTGTATTAATATATAAATTTTCGAATAATTAATTTTTTTGTTCATTTTTTTCAGAGAGAAATCTTAATCCAAAAGCAGCCTGTTTAAAACGAAGAGAAGAAGAAAAATCGGAAGATAATGTTGGTCCAAAGTTAGGACATCATTTATCAGTAGCCCAGCATATGGTTGTTCAAGCTCCACATTTTCCACCTATGACTTTAGTAATTTTTTATATAGTGCTATTTTATAATAAATTAAAATAATCTATTTGAAATTAAATTTCAGCCAAACAATCAAGCCAATTTGCCTCATGGACCTCAGTAGCAATCGGAATACATCATCAAACATATTATACTCCTAATTTGGAGGTGATGGCGTTAAATTGCAACATTTAAAAATCTCCATTCAAACGAATATTGCCAAGTATATAATATTAGTGATATTTTTTATTCATATTAATTGTTGTTTTTTTTTTTTTTTTTTTTTTTTTTTTTTTTATACTTTCAAGATAACATTTTTTTTGTCCTATGTGATTACAATTTAAGCCCAAAGTTTTAATAGACATTAGAATTATACATAATTGTAAGACTGAATTCAGAATATATATTGTTCAACATATATGTATACAGTATTACAATATTTTTTTAACTCATCTTGGTAAGAAAAAATCAATAATTATAGTATGTAACAAATTTATTTATCCTGAATTCAGTCTATACCTAATATTTATTTATACATTGGTTTAATTTTCTTAGTTCTTTCCCTACATTAGATTATTTTAATGTCCAATCAGTAAATAAGTTATAATCATGCCTAACAAATAAAAGCAGGAAGCACAAATTTAAATCCCATTAAGTTTATATATTTTAACTGGTGTCTCATTTCATTTTATAATGGATAAAGTTTAATTTATAATTATCATTTGTACTACTAGCTAGGTTATGTCAGTGCTTGACTTGTATGACTACCTAAACTATGTTTTTCATAATTTAGTCTACCTTTATTTTAATTTTTTTAGTAGACTACTGTTTTTTATGATCAGTATTTACTGATGATCTTCTAAAAACTGAATGATAAAATTCTAAACATAATTGAAAATGTATTTACCGTTTATTAATAAAATGGTACTTTAATTTTGAACAGTGCCTTGAATGGTGTGCATTTTAAATTATATATTTTGTAAATTATAAATTACTTGCTGGTTTGTGATAAAATTTAATGTATAAGTTGAGGATGGCATTCAAAAGAAACTGTCATATGGTCATATAAAGTGTAGTGATTTTTAATTGAACACATTTTTTTTTTTTTTTTTTTTTTTTTTTTTGTATCAGAATAATTGTATGGCTAAATATCATTTATTTGTATACTTAAAACATATTATATGTAAATAGTAAGAAATATTAAAAACTAAGCAATGTTAACATAATCCAATGGTTTTTGGATAATTTTTTAATTTCAGACATAAATCAATAATTTATATTGATTTAATAAAGAGGCCATTATTATTTTTTTAGCACTATTTTTTTTCTATGACTTTTCATTTATCAGGTTTGAGTCTTACAATCCTTGCCCAGACATTAACCAGCTAATGTAGATATAATAGTAGTTGGTTTGTTTAAACAAAATTCTTAAAAACTTTATTTTTATATACAATTATAGGTTACAAACTTATGAGCTATGACCATATATTACAGACATCTACACAATTAGTTTATAGCTAACTATTTAGAACTTAAAATTTTCCACTATGTGTTGACTGTCATAATTTAGAGGTGGTCACATTTATTACTTGAAGTTCCTACACCTTACCATAATATTTACGTGGTGTGATAGAAAATTAACACATTTCCACCCTGAATCTATATAACTCAAGTTTGGCAGTCAATCACACTTTACACTTCCTTTAAAATCTTAAACCAATTTTTCACTAAAATCATTTTATAAATATATTTATATTTTCTTCTCTTTTTATACTGTCTCAAACTTCTGTTTTTATTTATTGATGGCGTGATTATTTAAGGTTTATTGAAAGTTGATTCATTAATCAATGTTTTACATAATTAATGTATCTTCATATATTTAAAACAAAATTAAGTTTTATTAATATTATGTAGGAGGGAAAATTATGTATCTCTTTTTAGTAATATTGTTTATTAAACACATTTTCTGGAAAAATTATTTTTAGTATAATTATTATTATTTTTAATACAACATAGATATTATACTGATTTTTGTTTCCATAAACAATATTATTTAATTACACTTTCAATACTAATATAATACAATTTTAAAAACATAGCTCTATAATTATTAATCTATGATGATTATAAAAACAGTTTCCTAATAAACATAATCTCAATAGCAGTTATGTTTAAAGAAAATTCTTGCTTTAAGTCTTATTTTTATTATTACTTAAGAAAACCCTAATTTTATATATTTTTTTAAGTGTTGAACTGCAGGTAACTATAGATATTTTTAATTTGTTTTTTAATATATTTTGTTCCAAATGTTTACTTCAATGGATTATCAACGAAAATATCACAATTATCATTAAAATTTCAAATTTTATGTACACCTAAATATTAAAACAATAATGGCTCATAAACCTTATTCGAAATAATACAATTGTATAAATAAATAATTAGGTGTACTTAAATATATTTTTGTATGGACTAGTAATATTGTTATGTGTCTTATTTTTAATAATTTCTTTATAATCATAGACAAAAGATTTCTAAACATTAGACAGTATACTTCAAAAATGAATTATTTTTATCATCATAACACGCTGCTTTATTATACAATATTGATAGAAAATATTTAATTAAGTACATAAAACTGAGATTATTATTTTAAAATATCAACAAATTTTTGTCTATGGTTATAATAATTATTATTTTTCAAAATAACTTTATGATTAAGTTATATTATTTGTTTGTTTGAGTAAAATATGTGAATAATAATTTTCATAATCTTCATTGGTTTAATTTGAGTTATAAATAATACAAAATGCTATAAAAGCATAATATAAAATTAAGGAGTACTCAATTTTAACTTAGTGTACTTGTCATCTATCTGTATTATGCCAATGATGAGTATGAGAATATAATTATAGTAAACATATTTTAATGGTATATAATATTAAATCAAATTAATTTATAATACAAATATAACATTATCATGTTCTACAACTAATTATGTGTCCTATGTCTACAACTTACTGTGGTGACATTTAAATATGTGTATTAATGAATATATTTTAAAAATAAATTGTATTATATAAATCCATTAAATTATGTTTCCAAAAACATATTTTATGGTCTCTTTATTAGGCAACTAGAAAATACACTATGATCCCACCCAATAAAATGCTACACTCGAATTTAAAAGGTAGGGGTTTGGTATCCTTATGTGATCACTGGTCAATAAAATTTATTTTTGGATCATTTTTATGAAATTTAATTATGTTTCATGTAAATTATAATTCAATTGAATCAAACTGAATCACTTACCAAAGAGATTATATTTAACAGAATCTACTTAATAAATTAAATACAATGTAAACAGATTCTCTATGACTCGAAACTTTAATAAACGAATCAGTAATGTATTATATATTTCAAATTGTATTTGTTTTATTATTGTTGCTGATTAATTTTTGATAAATGAAGAAATATAATCTTTTTAAATTGAGATAGCCAATACTGAGTTGAACTAGAACTAAATAAAAAGGTTTATACCTTGTAATATATGTAATTTATTATAGCCTCCAAAAACAAATATTCTGGTTATTTTTATCGAGTGTTGTATTATTTTGGGTAGGTATATCTATATAGTGTATAATATGTATTAATTATACTTCATCAATGGGTATTTTTAAAATGAAATAAACTGGAAATTTACCCTTAATTTTGTATTATTATTATTATTATTATTTTTTTTTTTTTTTTTTTTTTTTAATATATTACTTTTATATTATTTTTAGTTTATGTATTATATAATTCATTCTATATATTTTCTTTTAATTTAGTTTTTAATAAGACCAGACATTTTTTATTCTAAAATAATTTAAATGTATTCTACAGAATTAATATTTTTGAGACTAGAAATTTAAAAATGTTTGGAATTATTGTAGAACATAATACTTTCTAATTGCTAAGAAAAATGACTGGATCATTATTTTAATCTAAATAATTTATATATTCAAATCTCCCATTATTGTTATTAATATAAAATATATTTTTTTTTTCTGTAAAATTAGACTTGTAATAATATTATGAATAAAAAATTACACTGAAAATATGTATCCATATATATTATAATAACATGTATTTTTGTGCATAAGTGTGTGAGTGAATGCATGTGTGTATACTATATACATCACATTTTTATGTCATAAGATTTAGAAAACTATTTTTTAGTAATAAAATATTATGTACCTATATGATATGATGCCATAATTTGTAATTATTGTCTTATTGAAACTTAAAAAGTGATTACTTACCTATAGTTCTTTTTTTTTTTTCATTATTATTATCATTATAATTTATGTCTGTCATTCTTTAATATTTTAATTAATTACATTTAATTTCATTTTTATTTTACATTAATAATAATAAAACATGAACATCAATTAATATATTGCCACAATATGATAGATTGTTTTCTATATATGATATTATGTTATGTTGTGGTTTACTGTACATATAGGCTATATTATTTAAATGTTAATTTTTGTAACGTTTGATTGAGAATAAAAGTTTAATAATAATATTTTGTAAAAATATTATTAGTTTAAGAAACACTCTAGTAGTTCACTTATTATTAAATAAGTTAACCACCTTTAAATTATATTTTATTAATAAAGGTCAGATGCTAATTTACTTAAGTATTATATTTGAATATTATTGTGTTTTGTGTTCATTGTATTATTAAATTTATATGCTTATACAGACATCCACATCATAACATATGTCTTCAAAGGTTGTGAATAAAATTGCACAATGTCGTGAATTTATAAGTTACCTTATGAATAGAAACTTCTTGTTAAATTTTATTTAATGTTTGGAAATATTACATTATTTCCATAAATTTATAATATGTTTTATTTACAAATGTAAAGACTATTCATTGATTTTTTGATCAATTGGGTCAATAATTTATTCTCAAACTTTCTACTAATTTGGTTGGCGATTACAAAATGTTCTGAATTCATATACCTACTTAATTTCAGTGGTGTATTTAAGATTTTGCCAATAAATGAGATATTAAATTTGAAAATGATCATAATATGTATGTGTACCTAGACTATATAAATTAGATCTTTAATTAAACAAATTTTAATTCATTTACTTTTGTTAGCATAAGCATAGTCAGACTTTTACAACATCCATTTCCAACTGAACTGTCCAAGGGGAATCCTTGAGGTCTCTTATACGCCTTTTGCAAATACATTATTTTCAAAATGATAGGTACATTAGTAATAACAGTTCAATAATTTAACATTATATCAAAATACTCAATACAAACAATTTTTACTAAGTTTTTAAATAATAGGAGTAAGTTATATGTTACATAAAATTATCTGACCACCAGAGCATCTGTAAAATTATGATTTCCACACACAACACCGCCTTTGTCATACTGTCATGTAATTTTTGAAACAAAATATTTATTCTATTGTAGATATTATTTGAAAAATATGGAATATATTATTCTATTAAATAAGGTAATTAGGTAGATAATAGGTTATTTATTTATTCAAACAATTAGTTGAATTGTAACAATTCTAATAATTTAATAAAACAAATTACTTGATATCTTTTTCTTCATTTTTTTATTAATTATTTCATCTCTGTTACAATAAACACATCTAACTTCTGTATTAAATAGTAATCATTCAAATTTTTTAACCATGAAATATTAAGAAAACTTAAGTATTTTAGTATCTATACTCTCTATTATACATATGATTTTTTTCATAAAAATACCCATTTTTTTTTTTATAAAATGTAGTTTTTGGGTTAAATTCTATTTTATAAACACTTGTCTATTATTTTCTGAACTTGCTTTACTATTCTATACTATATGTGTTATAATCACAGAATTGTACAATGCGCTGAAGTCTTGTACACCTGAATAGTAGGTAGCCATAGATAATTTTCCTAAACGTTCAGGTAAAAAAATAAAATAAAAAACTAATAGATTAATAATAGGTCTATGGTTATTACGTCTACCTAAGTACTTTTCACTAGGACATTTTTTTTAACTCTTAAAAAATTAATTTACCATATGCACTTTAATCATATACTCTACAAGGTCCTACTTTACGTAATTATTAATTACCTGTTATATTAATTAGTTATATAGTCAATTATGAAAATTGAACAATTTAACAGTAACAATGTAACATCCATGTAATGGACTTTGATTATTTTTACCAAGTATGTACATTATGTACAATCAATTTTCATTCTAACCTAGCTAGGTATTTATGTATTTTATTATTGTCAAGTTTTCCAAATATATCGTATATACACTCTGCTTCCATGAATACATGTGGCAGTAACCACAAAACAGAACATAACATATGAAGGGAATATGACGTCCTTGAGCCAACCGATCACAGGTTAAGCATCAATCAAGCACGTAAACAAGTATGTACCAGCAAGCATATAGCTAAGGGAAGATCAGGGTGTGCCTGGCCCATCCTAAAATGTAACCGGCCTTAGGTCGTCCCATCCAAAATATTCAGTGGGGCCAATTACCACATGTGTTTAATTTATAGCACCAACCATATCATCCTACTCGATTTGCATAATATATAGTATTATAAATTGATTAATAATAATTAGTACCTATTACCAGCTAATCATACCTGGAGGTAGTAGTATTATATATAGTGTATAGGTATTATCTGACATATGGCGTAATCATCAAAAATTACATCTGTCACTTGTCAGTAAGATACAAAGATACTATTAGATTATATATTTGTAGATTGTAGTTATAATCTGCTAATAACTACCATTTTTTAATAAAAGAAAAATATTGAGGGGCCTCCCAAATATTGGCCCGCCTAGTGAAAATGTTCTAGCTACGTGCCTGGGTACCAGGTGTATATCATCCAGAGAGTACTACAAAAACGATAGGTATAACCTCGTAAAAACGTAAAACACAAAATAACATAGGTATAACTAATCTTCTAAAATAATATGAGTGACGCATTGCCGTTACTATTTTACTATATATTATACAAAATACAATGTTGTTTGCTAGACATAAATTATAATATTAGGTACTTATAGTATTTTTAAAAAGAGGTAGGCATCTACCCGTATATTTGTGTGTGAAACCATTCACTACCCACCGTTGATTTTCATATAGCAACATATATTAAATTCCACATTATTGTTATTTATTCGTAGTGGAAACTTTAAACGAGGTTTTATATTTTAATATCAAATAATATTTTCCAATTAAAATGCAATTTTTTTTAATAGTAGAAGCGCTAGAAAGTAGAAACCTGTAATAGATACCTATCTAAGTAGGTATAGCCATATATAGGTAGATATGTACAAGTATATACCTACCTATCGAAGCAGGTGATTTACAAGTAACTAAACCAGTTTTTACATTATTAGGTACAGTTGGGAATGGAATAGCTATTATTTCACTGGAGAATTTCTAGATATTATGTTAATTATTATAATAGCATCTGAATTTCCGAAATTTACTCAAGCTGGTTTTTTATAAATATACGAGTAGGTTTATATTATAATATAAATGTAGCTAGGTGTATACCAGATGTACGCATAATATTACGTGCCATAAACTCTATAAGTGTAGAATATGGTTAAGTTTTCTCTCGCAAAATAACGTTTTAAATAAATTAAAAACTAAAATATTACATAAAGGAATTATAAATTATGTATTCGAACTATGATGAATTTTAAGTATTAATATATACCTACGTTTTATGGTTACCGACTAAACAATAAGAAAACAAACGGACATACTTCGCACGTGAGTGGGCCAGGCGCGAATATAAAGGAGGGGGCATGAGGCTATCGCTCCCATGCCCCCCTTGTATTTTTTAGCTTTGTTTTTAGTTTATATTTGTTAGATATTATACAGGAGCGTCCCTGAGAGAAAAGAGCGAAGGGGCGATCGCCCCACCCGTAACCCGTATGATGTTCTTTTTTTTTTATGCAAATTATCCATAATTCAGTACAAATAATTACAAATGCAACTTGTTCTAAATGCCACAAAGATGATTCCAGTTCTTAGAAATAATTTGATTGAATCAATAGTGAAACAATTATCATTTATAAATTTCAATAAATATTCTCTCAAGGGTGATATAAAATTATGGAAAACTAAATGGAAACAATCATTTTGCAAAGACATAATAAAATAATATATTTTTAGAATCAAAATTGTAAGTGATTACTTTAATTTAAATTTTAGATTCTGAATGTGGCGAAGGATGTACCTATTGGATTTACAATGATTATTTTTTTTACTATGATAAAAATGTCTACCAAAAATCTTGCTTCAATATGTAAGTTTAACACCTTTTTTGAAAGAAAATATTGTCATATTGATTAGATGATGCTTTAGGAATGTCATTTTTTGGTTTTCCAAACAGTACAAGCAGTATTCATAGTATCAGTAAAACCCAGGATAAAACGTAAGAAAAACGGAAAAATTTACGAAAATAATGCTTTTGTTATGTTCAATTTTGTTTTTTGTTCTAATTCAGTTAAAAATATTCGTAGAGGTTTGCAAAACGCTGTTTAAAATAAAAGTATTTTGGACTTGGTCATCTAACTTTTATTAATTATTATTCTTATTATTTTTGTTATTCATATTATCATTATTTTAGTTATTATTTATTTAATGTGAAAAGAATAAGTTTAAATTTCAAATTATACTGTTTTACTGCATTTGTACAATATATCTGCAGTCTTCTAACCTAATATAAGTTGAAATGACATCAGACATAAAATCTTAGGTTTTTGTTGATCAAAGCGGTGGTATTCAAAAGTAAACATTTTTTGTCCCTCCCAGTGGCGTAACTAGAGGGGGTTGTGACCTCCGAAATATATTTGTACTTTTTTTACGAATTCTTCGTAGTACGTAGTTGTGTAATTTGCATACCAATTTGAAATATAATGTTGTAACATCGTGTATGAATAAGTGATAATAATGATCATCATAAAGACCATATTTTACACACAAGAGGCTAAAACGTATATAAGAAACACTACAGGACAGCAGAAATGGAATGGTCACTTTAAACATTGAAGTTAAACCAGATTCAGCGCTTAATGTTGAGGCACTCTACTCGAAGAATTAATATAAGAATGTAAATTATTATTATTATTATACAAAGTGAGCCATTTAAACCTTTGGGATGTTTTTTGGTAATAATTTTATAAAAAAAAAAACACAAATTATTAATTTTGAACAATTTTCCCTTTATTTTAGAAATTTTTTCTGATTACTTTTTAAAAATAATTTCACTAAATAGTTACCTTCAGAGCAAATGGCGTATTGTGCTCGTTGTTCGACATTTCCCATCATTTTTCGATGTGTTTAAGGTTGAATAGAGCCGTAAATAAACAAAATTGTTGGTTCTATGCCAAAGAAAACCTTCAATTAATCCACGAAAAACCTCTTAACAACCAACGCGTGACTTTTTGGGCCGGAGTTTTTGCGAAAACAATCATTGGACCGTTTTTTTTCAAAGGACA